AGGGTGTAAAATAAGTAAAGGTATAGATTTTCACAGGGTATGATAATTTTCTATAGGCACCGTGTAAACTCGCTAACTTTTTTGGTCACATCCCTGACGCATGTTTATTTTCCTTGTTTAAAATCTAAAATTTAGTTATAGATTGATGCTTTTTTGATCCCATAACTCTTGTTAGTTTTGTGAACACAATACTTTCTCTGAGAATTTACGTTTTGAGTTTTAATCACACATCCAAAACGCAGGAATTGCTTCAATGTCATGAGTGTTTTGTACAGTGATGTTGTTAATATCAGGTAGTGTTACCTTGCCCTTTAAGTTTCTGCACCAGTCCAGCGGCTCGAATGAGGTCTGCTCCTTCCTGCACACCATCCTTCTGCTGCAGTGACAGACAGTCATGAACATGAGCTCCACTACTGCAGCAGACATATTCATTTCTCACACAGTTCACCTCAGTGTTTTATTTCCCGTCAGTGTGCTTTATCACTCACCTGTCCTTTGGAGAACGGAGCGCCTATTATTCCCACAGAGTACCGCTGATGATGGAGGTGTCTCCTGAATATGTGAAGAGCTGCTCGTGATCCGCTAAGGCTCTTCATCTTCATCATCACTGTAGTGATACTAATTCATCCGGCAGCAGTGAGTCTGGAATAAGCGGCTCTACAATCAAAGCAGATTACAGGAGCCGTGACGACACGCTGGCCGGTGACGCGCATTGGGCTGCTCTGGGTTTTCCTCTCTGGTGTGAAAAGTCGCTAAATGAGCAAGAGCTGATCTGAGGTCGGCAAATTTCCCATTCGAATTGGTTCATAATGATAATAAGCGCATGTGAAGAGTACACTTTACTTGGGTATCAAGAAAATAATTTAAAGCTGTTCATTCGTTCACATCATTGCTTTCGAGTAAGTTTTTGTAAGTATAACATTTTAAAATGTATTCCTCGTAATAATTTGGGGAAAAAAGATGAACTATGGCATCTCAGATGAATTTTGAACTATTCAAATCTCTAATAAATATAATAATAAATCAAAACATACATTATTACATTCGGTGGCCACTTTATTAGGTACATTTTAATAGAACTGGGTTGGACCTCCTTTGGCCTTCAGAACTGCCCATGGCACAGATTCAACAAGGTACTGGAAATATTCCTCAGAGATTTTGCTCCATATTGACATGATAGCATCACGTAGTAGCAGCAGATTTGTCGGCAGCACATCTATGATGCGAATCTCCTGTACCACCAAACCAGTCTAAGATGATTCAAGCTTTATTACATGGCATGTTATCCTGCTGGAAGTAGCCATCAGAAGATGAGTACACTGTGGTCATAATGGAATGGACATGGTCAGCAACAATACTCAGGTAGGCTGTGGCGTTGACATGATGCTCAATTGGTACTAATGGGGCCAAAGTGTGCCAAGAAAATCTCCCCCCACAGCATTACACCAACACCACCAGCCTGAACCGTTGATACAAGAATTTATGTTTAACGGACAGTTTTTTTTTTTTCACCACACTTTTCAACTGAATAGTTTTAATAACTCATTTCTAATAACTGATTTAATCTTCACCATGATGACAGTAAATAACATTTGACTAGATATTTTTCAAGACACTTCTATACAGCTTAAAGTGACATTTAAAGGCTTAACAAGATTATTTAGGTTAACTGGGCAGGTTAGGGTAATTAGGCAAGTTATTGTAAAACAATGGTTTGTTCTGTAGACTATCGAAAAGTGTAGCTTAAAGAGGCTAATAATTTTGGCCTTAAAAAATTAAAAACTGCTTTTATTCTAGCTGAAATAAAACATAAGACATGTATTTCTCCAGAAGAAAAAAAATATTATTAGACATACTATTAAAATGACCTTGCTCTGTTAAACATCATTTGGGAAATATAAAAAATTATATATCAAAAAATCAAAATGGAGCTAACAATTTTGACTTATATACATGCAATTTGTTAACACTTTAGAATAATGACCCATTAGGTAATGTTTTATTAATGTATTTACTAACACAAACAATTAGTAATACATTTATTATATCATTTAACTGTTAACATTTAATGTTAATTATCATGTTTACTCACACAGCATTAACTCATGTTAACAAGCACAACTTTGGATTTTATCAAGCATTATAGTTATTGTTGAACTATGATTAAGAAATGCCTTACAAGATTATTCATCCTTTGTTAGTATATGTTAGCAAATATTTGTATTGAGTTTATGTATTATTATTTTTACTGTTAAAAAGCTAAACCTTTGTAAACCTGACTGTTAATATTGTTTAAAAATACTCCCTACTAAATAATTACTTATTAATTAATGTATTAATTACTATTATTACTTATAAACGATGCAGTAACTCCAGTTTATGTATGCTACACTAATATTTCTGTTCAATTGACATGTTTTACATAAAGGCACAAATCCAGTTATTTTACTTTTATTCAAATTAACCAATTACATTTTTTTAGTTACACGTTTGTAAAAAACATTAGCAATTAAAATACAAAAAAATAGTAAGTGTTGTCATGTCTTTGAATATGCTACGAAACAGCAAAGCATTGAACTATGAATATTAATTAATGCTGTTCAAGTATTGTTCATAATTAGTTTATGTTAATAAAAATACATGAACTGATGACACCTTATTGTAAAGTGTGACCAAACAGTTGATACATGCCTAAGGCTGAACCTGAACTTGCATGCCACCCATTTGCTTTCTCCAATTAATCAAACACAAAAGCAACTTTCCCCCAGATTAATCTTTTTATGATATGCAGTTTCCACAGAAATACATCAGTGTGCATTACAAAACATCATTCAATGCCATAAAACATTTTTTAAAAACATCAGACACATATACTCATCCCATGCGTCGCTTTCATATAAAGGGCGGGGCATCCAGTCATTTTCTTCATATACATATGCATAGACACATAGGTAGGCATGACTGGTCAAGCTGCCAATCAATCAAATGTTCGGATGTGCAGGAGAAGATGGTGGACAGACTGACGTATGTTTCAGCATGACAGCTCATCAGTTATGTAAGGATAACAAATACACTGTAGTTGCCTCAGGTGCCATTAAAAGTAGCTCTGCAGCGGTTCACCGAGGATAGTCTCCATTTCTTGAATGACCTTCTGAACCTGGTGCTCAACTTCTTCGCATTCATCTGTAAATCAAAGAAAGAGCTTAATGAGCAAAGTTTGCAGGGACAAACTTTTATGTTGGCTTGTCACAGCCATAAGTGCTTCAAGTTTAAAGTAGGGTAGTGTTCAGAGTGGCTGCTCATGTGTTCATGTTTTTATCACATTGCTAACATGAATTAGCATGCTGCTACTCTTATAGAATGACTTACCACACCTCTAGCATGGATTAGGATGTTGCTAACATGAACTTGTTAATGATACGATTACCTTGATGCTAAATTAGTAATAATAATAAGCATCATGCTAATGTTGCTAATGAAGGATGTGCTAACATTAACAAGTTAGTAGATTTCAAGCATAACATGCTGTTAGTATGCGCTAACCTATTTCTAACATGTTAGTAACGTGTTAATATGATTTAACAGCAGGTCTAAAGCATGCTTAGCATCCTGTTATGATCATTTAGCATGTTTTTAGTATGAATTAACATGTTATTAGCACATTTCTGACATAGTTATCATTTTTATAATGAGTTAGCATGTTGCTAACATGAATTAATGCACATACATTTATTTGTATTTTGCTAGCATGCTTCTAACACGGTTACCATATTGTTAAAATTAATTAACATGCTTTGTCATGTCATAAGCTAGCTAGTAGGCTTCGCAAGTGCTATAGCTCGGTAACTGGACTGGGTGGAAATATTAAGATTTAATGTCTGAATGTTTTGACAAAACCCTCAAGTCTGATCTGTAGGAAAAGACATAGAAATTCAGATCAGAGCGCTTATGAACTTGAATTCAGAAGATCAGAATGCTGCCTCTCAAAGCAACCACAAAAACACTGAATTCCTGAGTAATGAAAGCAAACCAAGACTCACGGCAGAAACAGAGATGACAATAGGTAACACTGTGTACTTTGGTTACAGAATCATGATGGGTGTCCATTTGTTGAAATAAAACTGGTGTAGTGTTCTTACCCTCCATGAGCTCGGCCAGGAATGGGATGGTCTCTGGCAGAAGAACCATGTAGTTCTCCCTCAGCTTGCCTGCCAACTCCAGCAACATGACAAGCGCAGAGAAACGAACCTGAACAAAGTTTTGAGAAAATGTTTTTGCATTTTAGACTATAATGCATGTACTATACACTTTACACAATGTACGATAGAGCACCATTGGGATGTGGTGGAATGGGAAATTTGCATCATGGATGTGCAGCCGACAAATCTACAGCAACTGCGTGATGCTATCATGTCAATATCTCTGAGGAATATTTCCAGTACCTTGATTAATCTATGCCATGAAGGAATAAGGCAGTTCTGAAAGCAAAATTTGGTCAAACCCAGTACTAGTAAGATGTACCTAATAAAGTGGCTAGTGAGTGTATATCAGCCTGCTATATGTGTTAAAGCGGGGGAAAACACGAGATTAACAGCATTATTATGATGGACTCATTCTGTAGCGAACTGGAGTTTATGTGACTTTAATGAAAAAAGTTCCTTTGTCCAACTTTTTTTTTTTTTGCTGTCGCCATCCTCACTTGTGTGTGTCACACACCTCACACATCTTATACTTGCACAGGAAGTTCCCTTGCGTAGTTTTGGTGCTGTTACATCTGAATGCAGATACAGCCTCTCACATGAAAGCAAGGTAAGGCGCAGCCAATCAGAATGTACATATGTGTTTGTGGGCGCTATGACTCGAGGACAGAACGTGATTTAACCCCTTTTGCACGTCTGGGTTATTATTGACAGCATGACTTTTTTTTTTTAAGTGAATTAAATTAATGGTGGAGAAATTTCAATAGCTGCTGGATATTGGTGGGGATGCGTCCCTCTCCGTCCATGCTAAATCTACTCCCCTGGTGCATATTATAATAAGACCTAAACACAAACTGCCTGCTGAGATGTAGCTTAATGGCCTGTTTCCACTGAGTGGTGTGGTATGGTTCGGTTCGCTTTTATGGCTGTTTCTACTGGCAAAAGGGACCTAAAAGCGAACCGTACTGTGCCACTTTTTGGGTACCAAAAGGCGGAGCTAGTTGCGCAGCTGAACGCTATTGGTTTACAGAGAAACGTCTGCCACAATGAAAACAAAGAAACCGCTATGTTTTAAATAAACAACCTAGACATTACACTGCAATATATACATATAATAACAAGCAATGGTCAACCTGAGCTCAAACAAACCTTGTCGTTGTCTTAATAGACAGCCACAGCCAAGAAGAACAAAATCTGTCGTGCCCTATTTTTGTTTTACTAAAATTGTGAGCGGTTTCACTTTCTCGAAAGAGCTTGTGTGTGGGAGTCTATATTTGAAATAACGAACTTCTTGAGCTGATGATAATAACGTGCGCACAATTATTGAAGTGCTTCTGGCATTCGATCCTTTCAGAAAACAAAGGAGGAGCCGGAAAAAAACAACGGCGCAAATGATTCTTTCAGCAACATAAAACATTAACATGGTTATCTATCATCACCACCTTTTGGACTATTATGAACTGGGAATGACGGAATGACTCTATAACAGAGCTTACATGTACACAGATGAGAGGTTTGCTCTGACTGGGCTGTATGTTGCTGTTGTTTATGAACATAAATAAGGACTAAATGTCTGCTGTGTGTAGTTTTTCTGTAATTGATAACATATTGGTGACTGTAAGGGGCTGTATGTGTTCATATATGTTGCATTTATTTATTTATTTTATATAATTTCAGACGTCACAGTAGGCTATTTCGTACTGTCACTGATCTGCAGATATAATCGAATTATATTCATAGAAAGGTTAGTAATAAACATTTATACACAAGTATTTATGTGTATAAAGCATCTGTTTTGTGAGAAGAGCTGCTCGTATGATATGTGAGCGACCCATGCAAGTTTTTGAAATATGTAACGGACAGCAACTGGAGAGTTTGACTGCTTCAATATATCAGGGTTTCCATACCTTAACTTCAAATTCAAAGACTTTCAAAATCAAACACCCTTAAACTCAAGGACTGAAACCGTGGACACATTTTAAGTGAGAAGCAGGACACAGTTATAATTTGCATGTGTCAAACACAACTATGCAACAAAATTCAATATCTAAATGATCGTTTGACCGTAGAAGAAATCTCATATTCTATTTGACAAATTTCTGTTTAGCATAAAACAACAGCTGGCTTTCATTGCGTTATTCAGTATGTAATGACTTGACAAGTTGACCGAAATACTTCATTTTTTTCAAAAAGAAATCAGCATTGTTCTTATGTTCACTTCAATATCAAGTTAGATAATTGAGAATGTGCATACCTTTGGTGAACTGTGTCGTGTCTTGAGCAGAATCTGATAATTGAGAACTTTCCACTGCGAGTCGTCTCTCATGGCAACAGCAAACTGAGCAATGCAAGGCACCAAGTGTGTGGTAATGCGGCTCTTGTAGGTCTCCTCTCCTCCTAGTATGTTCTCCAACTTCAGAAATCAAACACACATGAAACTAATTTATGACAGGAAAAAAAGGTCTTTACACCATTTTCAAAACACCAAGTTTTGATCTAAGAACTAAAAAAGTGAAAATGTTTTTGTTAAAATTAAAAATATTAACAAATAAGGCTGTATTTAAAAAAAATCTTTAACCTGATGCCATAAAGTCAGAGTATTTTTTTTTTCAAAGACTTAAAGGTGCAGTAGGTGATTGTCTTTAGAAACATTTGTTGTTGTGCTGGTTGAAAGTCTCTTCACATTCCAATAGTAATGATTAAAGTAAATGATCTAAATGTATTTTTATATTTTGGGTAAGGCATAAAACTAAAAAATGTTCATCAAATTAAAAAGAGTCGGGCCGACATTTCTAATAATTCTGATAAGTAGCTCAAACTGTCAATCAGCAAATGCAGATTTGAACAACTGTATATAGACGTGCTGCCTATTCACGAGAGAGAGAGAGAGAGAGAGAGAGAGAGAGAGAAAGAGAGAGCATACGTGCGATCGGCAAAAACATGCTGAATCAACACTTTTCAAAAACCAGACTCAATATTGGAGTTACCTTTGCACGCTGTAGAAAGGATGACACCATGTCTGAAGGATTTCTCTTAGACAGGTAATGTTATGTTTTAAAACTATTTTGGCTTCATGCAAAGCTGATGTACCGTTAGATGTTGTTGTTACAAATGGGTTATATCTTCACAGAAGTGTTGTTCAGTCACTAAAATCTTCAGATTAAAGATTGATAAGACTATTTTCAGTTTCATAAGGGACCTTTTACAGCATCGATAATGTAGATTTTAATTAGTTTAACAACAAAACACAAGCAAATAGCGCTATTCCGCCTAGTCTCTACCTATATTGTTAACCATGCAACTCTTAATATTCACTCTGAAATCGCATGTCAGTTTGGCTTGCACACCGCCGGACAAGCACTAGTCGTTTTTATAACATGAGAGAGGGTTCTTTTGCTGTGCTCGTGTTTAAGGAGGCGTGGCTCTGGACGGCAGGGGAGGGACTGTGATTTAGAGATTTATGCTAAGCTGTTAAAATTGTGGAAGATCAACTACTGCAACTTTAAAGGCACAATATGTAAGTATTTTTCTTTAATTGACTCTAAATTGTATGATTGTCCAATTGTGCGTTTTTCCCCCCACAATTGATTAATTAACATGCATTGGACTCATTGAAAAGTTTCTGTGCGGGACAGATTTTTAGGATACAAATATGAAGATAAAACTTTATACTTCAGGGTGCAAAAACCTTTAATCTGCCTCATACTACCATGATAATAAGTTCTGAATACTTTAGCTAAACCATAAACATGAACAAGAGACCTGTATGATTTTATGAAGACCACAACTCCCATGATTCCATGCTCAGACACAGCATACTTATAATACACCTTTGTTTGTGGTGAATATGCGCCCTCTAGTGACAAAAATGATATAGTATCCAAATAATCTTCCACACTATGACAGATGTGATCAAATATCAATGGTTACAGCTTTCTACAAAATATCTTCGAAAGTCGAACAGTTTTGAATCAAATAAAGATTAAGTAAATGAGTACTTTCATTCTTAGGTGAAGCATCTCTTTAATTGTTTAACGACTGAAATCTGGTGTTTGATTAGGCAGAAACCCAAAATATGTACTTTTGGTGCGCTATCAGGAACAGCACTGAGAAACATTTGTAGAAAAATACCACATCACACTCCCAGGGAATAACAGCATCTAGATCAGTGTTTTTTTTAACTTCGTTCCAGGAGGACCACCAGCTCTGCACATTTTCCATGTCTCCTTAACCAAACACACCTGATTCAGCTCATCAGCTCATTTGCAGAGACTGAAAGACCTGTAATGGGTGTGACAGGCAAAGGCGACATCCAAAACATGCAGTGTTGGTGGTCCTCCAGGAAAGTGGTTGAGAAACATGGATCTAGATGTTTTATACTTTAAGCTGAAAGCTGCTTTAATTAAAAAGCTAAAAACAACTCTTTCACAGCGAGATGTAAAATGAGAAGTGGACAAATCACTATATATAGATGTATGTATATATATATATATATATATATATATTAGCTACTGCTGCTAATAGATTGATGTTCAGTTTGTGTGTTGCACTGACCTGATCCACCAGAGGACACAAAAGGGCATCAGCTCTTTCCTTACTGAGGAAGTGCTGAGTATCATAGAGGAAGATCTTGTGAAGGCAGTCCAACACATACTGTAGCAAAAGGCTGCTCTTTGTCACATTATCATCAGCCTCCTCATCTGAATCATCATCACTCTCATCCTCGGAGTCAAAGAAGGCTTTGTCTATCGGCAGAAGGTAAGTAAATGTAAGCATTAAAATCTTATTGCTCCTCATCTCCTCTTAGAGGTTAGTTCAGCCAAAAATTTTAATTACTAATTACATTAAGACACCTTTGTTCATCCCAAATTGTGATATTTTAGATAAAATCCAAGAGCTCTCTGACTCTCCATAGTCAGTGACAAATCAGAGAGGTTCAAAATCCAGAAAAGGAACCAAAAGCATAATCAGAAATGTCCATGTCTTCAGTGTTTAAGTGTAATTTTAAGAATTAAAATAACTGTTATTTCAAGAAGCTTCAAGAACACTTTTGTGCACCTAAAAATGACTAATTGAAAATGTAAAACATGTAAAAATGACATCTTTTGCAACAGGTCAGGATGTGTGTTTACTACGGGCAGTATGATGTCAGCATCAAATAGTAGTAGTAAACACATGTAGTAAACACTTGCCCTGACCGGTCGCGAAAGATAAGACATTTTTTTTCCTTCACTTTTTTTAAGGCTCATTTCCACTGACTGGTACAGTACGGTGCGGTTTGGGTCGGTACGGGTCACCTTTATTAGGCTTGCGTTTCCACTACCAAGGGTACACTTTTGGTGAGCGTGGTGTATGACAGACAGTTTCAGTCACATCATTCTCGCTCGAGGAAAAGTCTACAATAAAGCTGTACGGGTCGTTCACATATCATATGAGAAGCACGTCGTCACAAAACAGACGCTTTACATACATAAATACTTGTGTTTAAATGTTTATTACTAACTTTTCTATGAACAAGATTTGATTATAACTGCAGATCAAGTGCAAAAACGTCTGTAATTATATAAAATAAATACATAAATGCAACATATATGAACACATACAGACCCTTACAGTTTCTGATATATTACCAACTACAGAAAAACTACACACAGCAGACATTTCGTCCTTATTTAGGTTCAAAACAACACAAAATATAGCCCACAGTCAGTGAAAACCTCTCATCTGTCTGTAATCTTCAGCAGCACATGTAGCCTCTGTTAGAGAGTTATTCCATCATCCTGAGTTCATTTTAGTCCAAAAGGTGATGATAAAATATAAAACATGGCAGTTTGTTCATGTTTGCTGAAGAAATACTGTGCTCCTTTTTTCCCAGTTTCTCCTTTTTTTTGCGCTTTACTCTCGTGTTTATCAGTGTCTGGCAGAATCGGGTTTTAAAAGCACGTCAATAATCAAGTGCACGTTAATATCATCAGCTCAAGAAGTTTGTTATTTCAGATGTAGACATGCGGCGAGCGCAAGCAAAAATAGCGAGACCGCTCACGCTTCAAACTGGCTCATAAAAAACTACGATTCTGCTCTACTCCATGGCTTTGTGGCTGTTCATCAACACGACAACAAGGTTTGTTTGAGCCCAGATTGACCATGCCTCGGTATTATATGTATATATAATTCCGCTGTAATCTCTAACCGGGCTATTAAAATGCACAAAAGTGTTCTTGGAGCTTTGTATGATTATAGTTGAATGTTTTTGGTTCCTTTTCTGAACTTTTAACGTCTTGGGCATCTTGTTGTCTATAGAGTATCAGAGAGTTCCTGGATTTAATCTAAAATATCTTAATTTGTGTTCTGAAGATGAACGAAAGACTCATGAGTATTTATTAACAGAATTTTCATGTTTTGGTGAACTAATCCTTTAACACGAGCTAGACAAAATTGTTGGCACTCTGATGATACATTAAAGATGTATTTGAAACATCACAGAAACATTCAAACGTGCAGATTTACCTGTGTGGGAAGTGTTGAGCTGATGCAGCAGATCGGAAAAGGGTTTGACCAGCTGGCCAGCAAACAACACAAACAGTCCTTTGAGTTTGTCTGCGATACGATCTGCAAGTCTGTAGAAGGTCAACAGGCGATCTTTAGAAGCACCGTCAATCTTTGACCAGTCAAACAACTGCAGAAGAGAGAAAATATGATGCAGTTAGCATCTACACTGCCTGACAAAAATCTTGTTGTTGATCCCAGTTGTAAGAACAACAAACAATAACTTGACTTCTAGTTGTTCATTTGGAAAAGCGGCAGAAGGTAGATTTTTTTCAGATGAACCATCTGTTGAACTGCATCCCAATCATCACAATACTGCAGAGGATCTATTGGAGCCCGCATGGACCCAACATTCTCACAGAAATCACTTAAAGGTGGGTAAACAGTGAGGGAATTATTATTATTTGGTGAACTACTGTATCCCTTTAAGGCTAAATGATCAACCATTTGTCCAAACGTAAGTGATATTTAAATTCATATAAAGACCACTTCAATGTGGTCAAGTCATTGGCCTATGAACATTTCCTGCTTGCTATCACACTATTTCATAACTGTAACAAGAGGCGATTGAATCATATCTTAATGTTAAAACAGCTATCATGACATTATCATGATGTGGCTCTTTTTAGATTCTAAGAAGCTATTGAAATTAAAAATGTAAACAGGAAATACGATGGGACCATTGTTTTTGTGTACATCCCTCAAAATGGTTTATAACAAGGGGTCACCAATGTCGTTCCTGGAGGTCCAGTGCCCTGCAGGGTTTAGTTCCAACTTGCCTAAACACACCTTCCTGGGTGTTTCAAGTATACCTAAAAAGGCCTTGATTAGCTTGCTCAGGTGTGTTTTATTAGGGTTGGAGGTAAAATCTGCAGGACACCAGCCCATCAGGAGCAAGTTTGGTGACCCCTGGTCTATAACAATCAACACATACAATCTGAAAGACATTTAAATTGCACCAAGGCAATTATATATATAATTTTTTAACGATGCAATTATGTTCATTATAAGTACTTCATGTTTATGTCAAAACACTAACATTTAAATGAATGCCTTTTTATGTAAAAATGGTTTATAGAGCATATATTCAGTGAATGACTTCTCTTGAGCTTTCAAGAGAATATAGTTATAAGTCTATACGTTGCGGTTAAAGCACTGCTTGGAAGATTGCATGAGACAGATGCACTTCAGCAAGTTGCAGTTTTATAGAGCAGGGGTTCCCAAACTTTTCAGCCCGCGACCCCCAAAATTACAATGCCAGTGACTCGCGACGCCCAATATCCTCTTGGGTGGTTATAAATACAGAAACCTTGGATACAATGGCGCACACACACTAATAGACCCAAGTCTATTTTTCGTTTAATTTTTTTTAATGCATGTCAGTGCTGTAAATGGGCCAGAAAATTGAATCTGGTGTTATAAAATCAATCTGCTGCATTTGACGCTATTGCTGTGTCTTTGATATAATGCAATTACCCTAGGGGTGCAATCCAATAGAACTAGTAACTATTGACCTTATTCTAAAAGGAAGAAGTGCGCCTGTTTTCGCGATTGTTTTAGAACTTCTGATTCCGTTGCCTATGGGAGAAATTACTAGGAATAATAAACGGCAGAAAACGGTCAAACTACTTGCTGTACAAACAAATGTTTTCATTACTATACAGACCAAGTAGAAGAATATAATAAAACAATATCAGTTTGCAACATCAAACAGCAAAACGAGCTGCTTTTAATGTCTAAAAATGAATAGAAGTGAATGAGACCGGAAGTCTCGAGCCAAAAAGATTCAAATGGCTGTGCCCGCTCATTCGTGAAGAATAAGGTGTATAAGCTACTATAGTAACTATAAAGTACTATTTTGTCTTTTAGGTTATGGATAAAATATGGTAATTCTTATGGTTTAATAAAAATTGTTTGTTGGAAATTACCAGGCGACCCCCCTTCATTGTCCCGCGACCCCCACTTTGAGAACCACTGTTATAGAGTGGCTTTTTTTCGTTGTTTTTAAAAATTATAGTTCACCCCAAAATGAAACTTTCCCCACACTTGTTTAAACCTGTTTGAGATTTTTCTTCTGTTAAACACAATAAATAGTTAGAAATAATATGTAAAACGGTAGCCCTAGACTTCCATTGTATATTTTTTACCTACTATGGATGTCAACGGTTACCAGTTTCCAACATTCTTCAAAATATCTTCGTTTGTGTTCAACAGAAACCACTTGAGAATGGATAAATAAATAAATAATACATTTATTTTTTTTTGTGACCTATCCCTTTAACATAACTTTTGCTTTCAATGTTTAAAGAGCGACTGAACTAAAGAGCAAGAGCAAAATAAACATCTACTAGGAGCATGATATCATTTTAAAATTACAAACTGATCCTAAAATAAACACTAATTACACAAAAACCCAACAGACTTAAAAAAAAAATTCAGTTTTTACACTTGACAAGACTGTAGTTTGAAAGCTCCAGTCAGAATTGTTTTTCATGCATGTAAATATTAAAGTCTGTCTATAACTGGAGAACGTACAACAGAAGTTTACCTTGAAGAAAAGAGGCCTGAAAGTGACTTCTGAAAGTTTCATAATCATCACTAGCAGACAGTCGATCACGCAGCCTTCGATCTCAGCAGTCTTCTTCAGATCGCCCTAATAAATTATATTCGTCAGTAAATGAATGAAATCAGGGAAAAAGAAAAACTGTACCAGGGGGGATTTAATACCTGGCAATGCTGAGCACGGAAATCAAGCGCAGACAGGAAGAAGGAAGTGAGCTCTGATTGGTGGTTATTGAGTTGGTCTTTGTCCATGTGGCTGATATGTTCCTTCAGGATGTTCATCAGAGGACTGAGACGATTCTGCACAGAGAATACACAGAATATGGAGATCAGCTGATAATAGCATAGTTGTAACAACTTGTTTTTACGATCACTGAATTCTACACATGCAGTTGAATTCAGAATTATTAGCCCCACTTTTTCCCCCTAATTTCTGTTTAACAGACAGAATATGTCACACATTTCTAAACATAATAAAGGGTGTCGCTGGGTGATTAAAAACATTTTTTAATGTTAAGACCACCAGCAATCTAGCGACTTAATCGCTGGAGAACTACACACAGGCCACATTAATGAACTACAACTCCCACCATGCAGCTCGCACACACCGGTTCCTGTTTATCACTGGTTACACACACAGCCTGAGGATCACTATGGACTGATTTTAGGAACTATAAATACGGTGTGCGCACACACATCGTGGCTGAGTCTTCTGTCACCGAAGGACACTGGACAACAGAGTTAAGGATCCACGCGCCTCTTAATTAAAGGTGTAGTAGGTGCTTGTCTTCAGAAACATTTTTTGTTGTGCTGGTTAAAAGTCTCTTCATAGTCTAATAGTAATGATTAAAGTAAATGATCTAATGGAATTTTTTGTGTTTTTAGATTCTGGGTAAGGCATAAAACAAAAAAAATTTCATCCAATTAAATAGAGTCGGACCGACATCTCTCATGATTCCGAAAAGTAACTCAAACTGTCAGTCAACAAATGCAGATTTGGGCTTTTGCACATTTCTGGTCACGCATATCCGCCATATCCGCATGCCTGCCGCGTGTACACGCCTAGATGAGCGACACGTGCATGCCAGACTGTCAGTTGCAGCAAAATCAAATGCTGAATTGAAACTTTTTAAACTCCTGAATCAGTATTGCAGTTATTTTTGCACGCTGGAGGAAGGACGGCACCGAACCATGGCTGAAGGATTTCTGTTTAAGAGGTAATGTTCTGTTTTAAAACTATATTAGTCACACAGAGCTGATGTAGAGTGTATTGTGTTGTTATGAATAGGTTATATGCACAGACGTGTTGTTCAGCCACTGAAATCTCCCAGTGGAAGCTCGATTTGACTATTTTTAGTTTCTTAAGGGAGCTTTTACAGCATCGATGATGTAGATTTATATTCATATTAACAACAAAACATCAGTAAATCATGCTATTCCACCTAGCTTTCTTGCTGACCTGAAGTTGCTTTTATATTCACATTGGGTAATTTCTGAACAATGACAGTGACGCGCTCCCGATATTGTTAACCGCTACTCTGAAAATTCAGTCTAAAATAGCATGTAAGTGTGGCTTAGTAATAAGTGAAATTCCTGCAGGCCGCCCGGCCAACCACTACATACATTTCTAGCTGGCAAATGAACTGGGTTGTCTGCTTTTGTGTCGTGGTGCGCGCGCTCGTGATTTCAAGAGGCGTGCCTTTGAAACACAGTCCCTCCCTGCCATCCAAAGCTAATATGCTATCCGATTAACATTTTGGCAGATCACCTACTCCACCTTAACAAAGTATAGTCGAGCAGGCAATGGTCAAACAAAGGAACAAACAGTAGCATACAGGTAAATTCAATATCATAGGTTAAAACAGTAGAGTGGCACAGGCGGCAAAAAAATAAAGAAAGAAAAAACAGGCAAGGATCAATCACAAATTGAATAGATAGGATTAATGCTTTGTAATGCTACAATAACAGTGAGTAAGACTTAGCCATGATGTGTGTGTGCTGTATTTAAAGTCCATGAAATCCTCTGGCTGTACGTGAAATCAGCAGGAATCAGGAAACGGTGTGTGTGAAGTGCAAGCTGAGAGTTGTAGTTTGTTAACATGGTATGTGTGTAGTTCTCCAGATCTACACACACGGAGTATAGCAGCAGCTAGATTGCTGGTGATCGTAACAGTTATTAAACCATTAGAATTGCTATAACAATAATCTACTGAGGATAAAAATAGTATTTAATAGTTACACAAAAACAACATGTGAAAAAAACAGCCTTTAATTCTTTTTCCATTGCATTGCGACCCCTGAGGTTTTTACGCTAAATTAATGTCTGAAATCTAAAGTAAACACTATTTGCTTGAAAACACGCAAATGCGGTTTTCTCTTGCTCTAGGCAGACCATCAGGGCACAACAAATTTGAATTCAGCAAATGATCTCATGACGCACTTAATGTTTTAATCACGGCAGTGTTAAGGCTGATTTATAGTTCTGCATCAAGCGCATGCTATGGCGCAGTCTATGTGTTGACGCATAGCCCTATGCCGTGGCCGTCGCGCACTTCTAAAAAATGTAACTACATGTAGCAACGACACGTAGTGCAAGTTCTGTGATTGGTCGGCTTGGTAGCACTGACGAGTCTGGATGGGGCCGAGAGCCGCGGGAGCCCAATGGAGCGAATGTTTACAAGTGTGGAGTCCTGTGAAGGAACTCCAGATGGGATGTTTTGTTTTGTGTTTATGTCATGGTTAAAGTTGTTGTACGTTCACCGGTTTGAGCCACTTGTACATTAAGCGTTCAGAAAAAACAAAACACCAGCGAAGCAACTCGACACAGAAGAACATTAACACCTCACTGCCAACTAGTGTTTCGGAAGTGTTATTGCAGAACAACAGAAACAGCGCGCAGAAGTATAAATGCACAGCTAGGCGCGTTGCATGTGCTGTGCGATCACGTGATGCAGAAGTATAAACCAGGTTTTCTTGTACACATGGAAGGGTTAATCATATTAAGAAGCGTTTCCATTAAATTTTTTTTGATACATGTGGTGATCTACCTGCTGAGCATCCACCATGCTGCAGTAGCATTTAGTGATGGTAGGAATGAGGACCCTGGGAGGAAGTTTTGTGGCGAGAGTGGAGCTGAGAGAGGCCAGGCGTACAGATAACTGAGGGCAAGATGTCAGTCGCCTGGCCAGCAGAGTTAAACGGGTGACCTAGCAAACCAGAAGAGAAAGAAGATTTCAATTAGAACAGCAACCAGTGGAATAAAATGCATTTCCATCATTTCCAGGGGGCGCTGACCTGTAAGATGGTGTCCAGCAGGTATGGGCTGATGAAGTGTGGCAGAGTCTCAGATGCCCGCTGTAGAGCTGTGACGGCGCTCAGTAGGTAGATTTCATTATTTAGCAGGTCCTTCCTTTCCTTAAGAGTGTCCAGCACAGCGGGCATCAGCCTGAACACACAGCAATAAAAAAAGTCACTAAACGTATTTGTGAATTCAAATATATGGATAAATAAAATAAATCACTTAACTCTAGTGATTTACGCTGTTTGTCAGCTTTACACTTTTGTACTTATATTCAACAACGTAAAGCTAAATGCTGATTTATACTCTGAGTCAAGCGTACACATAGCCCTCGCCATGGCGGACGCCAACACTGACACGCACCTCTCAAAAATTGTAACTTCAAGTCAAAACAACGTGTAGCGAAGCTCTGTGATTAGTGGGCTTTGCACCTGTGACCAGTGTGGACGGGGCCGAGGGCAGTGCAAACCTGTTGGAGCCAGTTTTTACAAGCGTCTAGTGCCGTGGAGGAGCTCCATATGAAAACTTGTTTTGTGTTTACCTTTTGATTAAAGTTGTTGCACGTCTGAATGAGGGAGTTTTAGCTACTTTTAGGTAGCTTTCAGAAAAAAAAATCACCAGCGAAGAAACTCGACACAGAGAAACATAAAAACCTCACTGCCAGCATGCATTTCGGAAGTGTTATTGCAGAGCAACACAAACAGCACGCACAAGTATAAAACACACCGATCAATATACGCAGAAGTATAAACCAGCATGTATACTTCTGTTTTGATGCTAACATAGCTAACTAGTTACTGTAATTAAATTACTTTCCCACTAAAAAAATAAAGGATTGCTTTTCATATTTAGGTCATTTACTTAGTTTCTTATAATATACTTGCCTCAAATACTGTACATGAACACAAAACTATTCTTTATAAATAATATTTTATTTTGCAGAATAATTCTATTTCACAGCTAAAGAACATTCATATCCGTTATCAAAACAAGTGGAGTGTGAGTAATTAATGACAGAATTGACATTTCTTGGGTAAACTATCCTTTTAAGCAAAGGTTCAGTTGAAAAAACAAAACAAAATAAGCCCTGCAAATGTCTAAATAGACAAACCTTTAATTGTATTGAATCAGTTGTTTATTTAATTTACTAGATTAGACCTAATAAATCATTCACATGAAATTATTATTTGGAAAAAAAAAATAAAATGAGGAGAAACTTAAAAAATATCAAATTTAGTTAAACATTTAGTAGCTTGTAATTTTGTTATTAACTCGTCTGAATTTAAATTATCTTTCTAAAGATGTTCAGTGACCAAACTCTTATTTTAATCAATGTAATTAATTTTTAATTAATTAATTAACAAATTATTGATGCAAATGAAGAGTTTAGATGCAAAACCCTCTAAATCCATCAGACCTATTTTCCATCAGGCTCCTCTGATTAGGTCATTGTCTAGGTAATGTTAAGGTTATTAGCTAGTAACTAATAGCTTTTTTAACTAATTTCTTTGGTAAATTGTCTTTTGCGTCAAAACCAGCTAAATCCACCTATCCACCTACAAGACCGTGTTTTTAGTTGAAAAATAACTAAAGATGCTATTAGAAATTATTTTACCAAACATAAAACACATTACACAAACCACCTAAAGTTAAAAACACATAAATGTGTCAAGTAAGTGGCGGTTCATTCCGCTGTGGCAACCCCTAAATCTGTCAAGTAAGTACATTAAGTCAATAACACTATAAGTTAACATTAATAAAATCTTAATCTATTGTCATTTCTGATATTTGGGATTTAGATTTAATGTAAGCAGAACAATGTAAACAATGTAACTGTTAGATTCAAATACTGTAGTGTAAAATGTACAGTGCCAAAAATTTTGATAAGACAAAACTTTTGAAGTGTGTAAACATTAAAATAAAGCAAATGAAAACATTAAATATTACTAAAATAAAAAAAATATATAAGTAATATTAAAATATTATCAATTTAAATATTTTGGAGTACCGCAAGTGGAACAGAGCAAAACGTTAAGAAACAACAATATCTGTGCAATGTGTGTGATAAAAAGCTTATCAGACAAAGTGTAAAGTAATGTTAATAATGTATAGTTTTTACATTATATTTATCTTTACAAACAGCTTACATTAGCAAATAAAACACAGTAGGCTACTGTGCAAAAAAGGAAAGTCTTTTAGACACTTTTAGAAGCTGTCAATCAATTATCCTCACCATACCCAAGGTCTTGATCATAACATCTCTTTTTCATCTCTTCTATTTATCCTCATAGCATCCATGTGGGATAATAGAACTGCATCTTGTTTAAATTCACCTTTCATGAAAGGGAGTAGCCGTTTAATCTATAGTAAATCAGACTCATTCAAAGAAGCGTCACAGCGCAAAAGAATGTAGTGAATGCGTGCTACACTTCCCACTGTGCAATATGTTTTCTTTCTTCGTATAATGCAGAGAGTTTTCAGGTAAGGAACGTTTTCATTTGACATTCAGTGACAGTCGGACAGGCTCAAGCAGTCCATCAAACTCCATCTTTTAAAATGTAAAGTTAAATCTGAATGAAACGGTCTCCTCATAAAAGTTATCATTGCCACCTTGCGGACATTAAAACTCATTTTACATCGCCAGTAATGAAACATTACTTAAGGCTCTACGGTACCTGTGTAACTGTGGTATAGCAAGCGCTTTCAGAGTGCTGGTAACTTCCGCTACACACAGCAGAGCACTTCCCATGACATTCTTCTCCTCGTCTTTATCAGCAACCAGCTCCACCGCTTTATTCAGCACTGGTACAAACTCCTCCTTGTGATCAGAGCCGAAATTTCGGCACAGAAGCTTGAGGCTATAAAGGGCCGTCTGTCGATTGATGGCCAGCTCTTCTTCTTCCTGGGCCGTGACCTGACGATGACTGCGACCCACGATGCTCAGAAGAGTGCCAATGAGCTCAAGAAGAGCAGTGATCTGTCAGAGAAATAATTTCCAGCTATTATTTAAAAGCATGTATTAATGAAGAACGGGCAGTCAGTGCATATTAGCAATAAGTTGGATCAAAAAATAAAAAGGTTTCAACAAAAAGGTTACCTGTTCCTTCAGCCACTTCGTCCTCTGTTGTAGTTTGTTATTGAGTAACTCCATGGCCTTCCTTCTTACTGATGCCAACTGATTACCCATCAAGCCTCTCATTACCGTAATGAACGTATCCATTGGTAGAAGGGCATTGACCTAAATCCGAAACAGGACTACGGTTCATTTCAGAATAGAAAAAGTATCATGCAGGTTTAAGCATTATCTGAAAAATATCTTGGGGAAAAAATGACATTGCATGAATTAACTTTTTGAAAGCACATTTATGAATCGTGCCAGATAACTCAGCTCTGACTGTTATTTTATTGCAGTGTAAGGACGCCAATAAACTTGATAAAGTATCAATTAAATCCTGTGTTTTCATATATGTTAAAGGGTCATTAAACACCAAAACACATTTTTTGAGATGTTGACAGTCATACAGGCGGACACTTTGGCGCAATAGGTAGTGGTGTCGCCTCACAGCAAGAAGGCCGGTGGTTCGAGACTTGGCTTGGTCAGTTGGCATTCCTGTGTGGAGTTTGCATGTTCTCCTCGTGTAGGCATGGGTTTCCTCCGAGTGCTCCGGTTTCCCCCACAAGTCCAAAGACATGTGGTACAGGTGAATTGGGTATGCTAAAATTGTCCGTGGTGTATGAGTGTGTGTGTGTGTGTGAATGAGAATACGTGGATGTCTCCCAGTGATGGGTTGCGGCTGGAAGGGCATGCGCTGCGTAAAAAACATGCTGGATAAGTTGGCGGTTCATTCCGCTGTGACGAAATAAAGGTTTATAAAAGGACTAAGCCGAAAAAAAAAAAAAAAGAATGAATGAATGAATGAATGACAGAATATTTGTGTCCCACGCTGCTAAAAACACTATTAGGTCACATACACGTCACAAAAAAGTGAAAATGGTTGTTTTTTTCGTTATTTCGAGAAAATTCATTCTTTTAGTTTGAAACAAATTTTTGAAGCTGCGTCACAGAGATTAGATTCTTGCATGTATTCCAGCTTGTAGAATGGCGGTCTGTGCTGGCCAGTATAACGTGACGTATTTGAGTGTGCAGCATTGATTCACGAGTATGACTTGCTTCATCCAATCAGCGCGCAATATTGTGAATGAGGTGCAACTTCATTAATGTGCATGATTGCTTCGAAGAACATTTTTACCTGTTACAGTGTTCAGATGGCAGAGAGAGGCCACATTGTGTTGCCAAAACAAGTGGAAGAACAAGAATTGTTTGGAGACACGTCAGTGTGGAGTGTATAAATGTGCCGCAACAAAGGTTTTGTTTTCATTTCCCGCTACGAGAGCGCAGCTGGACTCACGTGTGGATTACAATGCACGCAACAGAAATACATCTGTAAGAAACATTTTTTACCTAAGAGCTTTTCACATCTGGAAATAGTGAAATCCAGATTTGCCGCTCTACTCCTTTAAAAAAAAAAAAAGATGCGGCTCCAGTTGGTGTTGATTGTCCTGTCTCAACAAGTTTGGTAAGTGTGTGATCAGTGTATTTGTTTGTTTATTCAGAGGTAAAGTTAGTTTGTATCGTCAGCAGTACTCTTTCAGTATTTAAAGACATACCTTAGTCAAATGATTTAGTTACTAAGTTTACCGTGCGTTGATATCACTACAATATTATGTGCTGAAAGATCCGCTGTAAAGGCTGCTCTCCGAGTGTAAACATGTAAACACTTTAATCAAACAATTACCGTCATGTAGGATATCCGCTGCATTTTGTGACAGGATAGTCTATACACACATGGCTTTCTGATGCTACCTACCGAGTGCAGAGAAATTCAGAGAAATTCAGAGTTTTTTTTTTCTCCCATTCGCCGTGTGGTATCAAACATTCCATTAAAACTATACTCTCCAGCAGTTCCTCCCATCCAATATCTCATTTGTCACGAGGGGCATGCATGAAATGTTCCTGAACTAAAGTGAAAGTGCCAAACTGCAGTTAAAGTCAACAAATTAATAATTTGGCAAATAATTCGATTACTGATGCCCATGTAAACACAGTCACTGTCAGTCACTGCCTGTTTGTTTTACCTCTGTGAAAATCAGGGCATGCCTAAACGGAAACTCCCATTTTTATGCAAACCCATCCCTCTTTCCCTTTCCTGTCACTCCTACCTAAACAGAGCTGGACAAACCCACTTTCCTGACTATTTTCAGGGTGTGAAAACACCCATGCTATGACAGAGGAGTCTCGTGGCCCTTTAAACTTTCAAAATACTCTTCAAAATAACTCTAAATACATTTTTATATGCATTTGTTTATATATTTTTACAAGTCCATACACATTCCAAAGGCAGATACTGATTAGATCAGGGCTTGGTTAATATGTGCACTTTAGGGGTTTTACGATGTGGTCACATGTTGATTGTTCAGTTTCAGTTTTTATGTCTCAGGATTTGGGCTTTGGTCACATGGTAAAGAAAGATCCAAAATACTTGGTAAATTTTGCTCTGTCTCTTTTTCTCCTGTTTTTATACAGTTAACTGCAATTAATTCAATTGTAAACATAGAGAATTATTGTCATTAAATCATCTCATTTTTAAGTATTTGTGAAATACTTTTAATTTAACATCAACATTTGATTGCTCTATATTGCAATACAATACAATCATAAAATAGCAACGCTCCCCCACATTTTTAGCTATTAATACTGCCCTTATTTCTATTTTTAGTAAAAGATTGCAGAAGGACAAGGTTTGACTAGAAATGTACAGTTTTTTTTACCATCATACTGAAAACTTTTTAGTTATTTGGCAGAACTACAGTTTGAACCGCTGTCGTTAAAACCCATTCTTACAGTGTAATTATAATTTAGTCTATATTTCATCCACACAAGCAAAATAGTTAACTCTGGTGGCTTAGATTTGGCTCACTCACTCCTCCTAGCTGAAATTAACCACTTCACCATTTCAACTGAAAATATTTAACAAGGCATCTACTCAATTTCATTCAGTCAATCATTTTCTTGTCAGCTTAGTCCCTTTATTAATCCGGAGCCGCCAACTTATCCAGCAAGTTTTTACGCAGAGGATGCCCTTCCACCCGCAACCCATCTCTGGGAAACATCCACACACTCATTCACACACACTCTCATACACTACGGACAATTTAGCCAACCCAATTCACCTGTACTACATGTCTTTGGACTGTGGGGGAAACCGGAGCACCCAGAGGAAAACCACGCGAAGGCAGGGAGAACATGCAAACTCCACACACAAACGCCAACTGAGCCGAGGTTCGAACCAGCGACCTTCTTGCTGTGAGGCGAATGTTACCCACTGCACCACTGCCTCGCCCATCCACTCAATTTGTAAAAACAAATGAAGTATTTGACAAACAAAAGTATGATTATTCATCACAATAAAGTGCTTCTTACCTTGTCCAGGGTGTCATAGGACTTGCTTAGGAGGGCTCTCCAGAACTTAGCTGTTGGCTTATCTGCATTATCCTCGACACATCGAGCAACTGCCTGAATGTAGCGCAGAACCTCCACCAACAAACTAACAAGTAAACATAAAGAAAAAACTTGACACCTGCTACCAACCCAACAACCAATATCCAGCATTGTAGTCAGGCTTCAAACTCACTCTTGCTGAAGAGCCTGTAAGGTACTTTCTGTAATGTCTTCACAGTCAGCCACCTGCAGTCAAACAAGTACATATTCAACCGTCTAATCGAAACATACGGTGGCCATTTTGATACTGGCAATAAATCAGCTGTACTACATACTAAACCTACCTTCCCAACGAATCCGTCAGAGGCCAGCAGCTGAGCCATGAAGGAGATGGAGATGAATTTAAAATGGCGGAGGTCTTTGCCACTGTGAGTCTCCACACTGAATATCAGATCAGAGACTGTTTCATCTTTCTTCACGGCACTTCTTCCACGGGGTTTCTTTTTCTCTGGTGCTTTGCAGAAAAAACAAACAAACATAATTTGTCTCTGATTTTCTTTTAGGTTGACATCGTAAATCTAAATCTAATAATTGAGATTTGAGTCAATTCAAATTCAGCTGGTTTTGTTTTTTTAATTTTGGATAAATGCATGTTTTTTTGTATAGAAACACTATATATCTCTTAAGTGAAGCTGTAAAAGCTTCATCTCAGCCTTTTAATGATATAACACCTTTCTACTCCAATTTGTTGTTGAAAAATAAACAGGTTTATTTAAATAATTATAGGGTTCAGTTCAAATAAAATAAATATGCAATAAAATGCAGATTTTTGACAAAATATTTACAATATAGTTTTCATTTCTTGGCTAAATTGACACAGAATGGCTTTTGTAATGCAACTTTAAGTTACAATGTATACAATCTGTTTTAGTGGTGTTTTTCCCATGGTATTTTCCCCCTAAGAATGAATCTAATCAGGCAGAATATCTTAGATTTTAAGATCTCAGTGTTAAAAGGATAGTTTACCCTAAACAACAAAATCTCTTCACCGTTTACTCATACATAATTGGTTATAAAATTTTAGAAATATATATATTTTTAATGTTGAATCCAAAACAAGATAATCTTAAGAATGTTGAAAAAAAGGAGCCACTGACATCCATAGCAAGAAATAAATAGACTATGAAAGTCAATAGCCACATTTCCATTGCTGGGCCACAGTGCGAGCCAGACCTTTTTTCGGGCTGGGCCAATAACCGGGGAGCTTGAGCAGTGAGGACAAAATCATGTCACGTTTCCACTGTCGGGCCAATAGCTCGCAGTGCTGCATGTAAACCCCGCCCCAGAACGCCTCCTGAATTACCCGCCCAGTTCAATGAGAAAAAGAAAGTCAAATCAGAATCAGGCAGATAAAGCACACCATCATTACAGCTAGTTTTATGTCTTTCTGTTGTATTCACATTTGTATTAGCTTTAAAATAAAATCGATGGAGCTCCACCCCTTCACTCCACCCCGAAGCCCTTGCTTTGGCCCAAGGTATTCGGCGGGCCGAAAAAGGTTGGCCATTGGCCCCAAAGAAGCTCCTCTGGAAATGCAACTGGCCCTGGCACCCTCACTTTAGGTGCGACAGTGGAAACGCAGTTAATGCTTTCCAACATACTTCAAAATATTTTATTTTGAGGTCACAAGAAAACAAGTGAAGAGTGAGTAAATATAATTATTCTTTAAGACTTAATCTATCAAGTTCATCAAAATGTAAACGCTTAAAATCAAGAAACCAATTACGTCAATACAGCCGTATACGTACACGACATGCTTTTTTCCATTATGTCATATTTTACAACATCCGGCATGAAAATATGTAGCTTCTGTTAATTTATAAAAGGTCTGTACTTGACATTTGGCAAACTGTGGTTTACACATTAAAGGGACAGCCCACCTAAAAATATGTAGTATTTACTTACCATCAGTTGGTTCCAACCATTATGATCCTCTTTTGCTGAAGAAAGCTAAACCAGTGACTTTCCAACAATACTATGGAAGTCAAGGGTTACAGGTTTCTAGCTTTCCTCAGTATATCTTCTTTTGGTGTTCAACATATTTGTGGCAAATAAAGGGTGTGCAAATGATGACAACTTTCAGTTTTGGGTGAACTATCCCTTTAATGACCTACATCTATTCTTTTGTTTCGGTGGACATAGATTCATCTACTGGAGTTGTATGGATTATCGTCATGGTGGCTTTATGTCTTTTTGAGCTATCCCCAGACTTGCATTATGATATTTGTTTTAAAATCATAATTTATTTTAAATGAAGTGGGCAGTTCTTACCTTCTTCTCTATCTTGTGGCAGAGTCATGAGATACTGCAGGATTTTGATAAGGGAAGTCAGCTGCTCCTTCACCTCAAACTCACAACACACCAAAATCCAGAAGTCTTGATCTCTCTCCACAACAGCCTCCTGAACAACACAACATGCAACCGTCTCTATGAATGCTAAACACAACTGGTTTACAAATGGAGATAAATGCCTTTTTTTGGTTTGAATAAAGTTAAAAAAAAACATGAAAAGTTGTGTACTTTTCTCCCTTTAGGGAAAATATCCAATACTGCGATTTTCACCTGACTTTAACTGAATAAAAAGCTGAATTTCCATCATCAATAATGGACAGGAAAACATCCCACTGTTTTTAAAATGGTCTTGAATATCATATTGTAGTACTTTAAAAGCCACTATGAAAACAACAATCAATAATTCACCTCAGATTTTGGAAAAAAAATTAAATAAATCTGAGGTAGTCATTTTTTACATGGCTATGCACTTCATAGCCATTTAAAAAGTGACTACCTAAGTTTTGTTTTCCATATTTCACTCTTCCATATTTGATATGTTAATAGTAGTACAAACTTTTTCTGTCATCTACTTCTTAACAGTCATTTTGAAGCCAAAGCTTCGTAATGGGTAACACTTTACATTAAGGTTCATTAGTTATTGCATTTACTAACATGAACTAATCATGAGCAACAGATGTACAGCATTTACTAATTATAATTGAACATTTACTAATGCATTATAAACATTCAAGTCCATGCTTGTTAACATTAGTTAATGCACCATGAGTTACCATGAACTAACAATAAACTACTGTATTTTCATTAACTAACGTTTATTAACATGAATAAATACTGTTGTAAATGTATTGTTCATGTTAGTAAATGCATTACTTAACATTAACTAATAAACCTTATTGTAAAGTGTGACCCCTAATGTATATTATCCTGACATGCTGACCTTAGCTTACAGATACAATCTGTAAGCCTGTCACAATAACCAATATAACGAATTATCGTGCAATATTTGGAAGTGACAAGTAAATTCACAAGTAATGTTAAATCCAATGACACAATGACATTAACATTATGCCTCAACACTGTCAGACTTTATAATTGGACATTTACCTAATAGGATATTTAATAGTGTATATAATAGGACATTTACCTTTTAACACCAAATTAGGGCTGGGCGATAAAATCAATGTCTGTATTTATTAATCGTGAACGATTGTCAATAACAATTAAAAAAGCTTGGTATGTAGATTTAGTATGAAGGCTATAGTTTTATTCAAATGTGGCTGCTGAGCGCACATGAATGCCAATAAACTTAGGGTGTTAAGTTTGTCATTTCCAATGGAGGCGCGCAACTGTTATGACACGCACATGGGAGTGACGTGCAAATGGTGTGCAAGCGGTGCACACGTGATGAGCATGCAGTTTTCAGGTACACCTAGTTGAAAAACATCTTAACTTTTCAGATTGCCGCGAGCACACTGTGATTCACGTAAGCAGAACTAACCAATCTGCTTCACACTTTGTGTGGAACATACACATTTCAGTAATAACGGCAGACTTTTTACCTCAGACAAACACAGCGCATCCAAACACTGCAGTGCTTTTTATGTTTCTCCATAAACTTGTATTGGAGCTGCAGTAATGGTTTGTCTTTAACCTTTAATGGTAGCCTAGTCACGAGAGATGCCACAAGCACAAAGCACATTATGAAATGGTGAAGGAAACCACGTGCTCGTGCTTGTCACTCCAGGTCAAAATAACAACACATGTGAAAATGAGTGCCGTGTAGCAATAGCGAGGAGATTGTAATTAAAAAAAAAGAGTGTCGCCAGAGTGGCTTTTTGGTTTCTTTTCTTGTGCATCCCAGCCACTTGCGAAGAGTTTTTAGCATAGGGGATAATATAGTCAGAATTATAGACAACTTCACAATTTGTAAAGTTGCATTACTTATTTAAATAATGATGGCTGGTCCGTTTATCTGAAAGCTCAGATTTGATTATCATATATTGTATAATTATTATTTACACCCTAAAGTTTGTGCTGACTGTTCAGTATTTACACTTTACCATTGCACACACTTTTGTAACATTCTATTTATCTATTTAAGTTTAAGAGTCTTTTTAATACTTTTGTTTATTTTATTATAAAGAGTACAGATTTTAGTTTAAATATTTTTGCTTTTGACTATTAAAACTATTTGCCTTAGTAATGTGGATAATTAAAATAAAAAGTGGTTAAAATTTTTTTTTTTAATTTAATGTTAAAAAATAATCAATAATTATTGATACCGAAAGATATGAAACCCAATATTATGCTAATTTTTTACAATATCGCCCAGCCCAACATCAAATGACAGAATCTTATCAACCTAAAGAACGTTACGCATTTTAAAGTGTTTATGGCTATTTACATTAATAACCTGTTATACTAAATTGACAATAGTATCACTTATTGCAACAATTTCTGTCACAATTTATCGCACAATAGAAATGACATATGACAGGCCAAACAGTCTGGTGACTGCAAATGAATTACGTAATTGACTGGCAGACAGTTGAGTAGTGAGCATGAAAAAAATAAAATTAAGTTGAACCATAAGCCTTTTGTGTTTACATTTTTTTTTTAGAAAAAAATACATTTGGATAAATTTAAATTAAAATTTAAAGCGATAAAGGTCCCTGATATTCCCAGACTTTTAATGTCTGTAATGAAAACACTATATTTCCAAAAATGCCATGACCCATGAGATCCCCGTGTACCTTTTCAGCCCCCGTCGCACCAGCAGATGTTTGTGTGACATGCTGCTTGAACAGAAGCAGCATCAGCACCCAGAGGAAGCGGGACGGGCCCAGTGTGCTCATCAGCTGGCTGAGGATGGGTAACCGTCTGTGCTCGGGCACATGAGGAAGAGCATCAACAAACACATGTATGATCTGGGCTACCACAGTCTCCATATGACCCTCAGACTGAGAACTTCCTCCCTCGTGGGCCTGTGGAGAAACATAATTGATTAAAGGTTTTAAAAATTAAGTCACATTTTTAGTTGCTTTATAGAAAAACTACACTGTAAGAAAACTAAGAAATGTGAAAGTGTTGTTCCTGTAAAACTGTGTAAAACTCCCCACCACAATGATACAAGGTTGCAATGTCTATTAACGTTTTGTATGTGTAAATACAACATAAGTGTTTTTAAACCATAGTATAGTTAAGTACTTAAATATATCTGTTGTGGTAATTCTATAGTTGGTGTGGAAATACAACTATAGTACTATAATCACATTACTCAATACTGTGATAAAGTTTAAAGGAACATGCCACTTTTTTTTTTTTTGGAAAATTTGCTCATTTTACAAGTCCCCAAGAGTTAAACAGTTTTACCATTTTTGAATCCTTTCAACTGATCTCCCGGTTTGGTGGAAAGTATTTTTAAATTAGCTTAGCATAAATAAGGGCTATTCAATTGGCGGCCCACGGGCCAAACCCGGCCCCCGAGGCAGTTTGATCTGGCCCGCCAAATAGTGTGACCAAGACATTAAAAGTAAATTAAATTCAGTCGAAAAACGCTTGCTAAAGTTATGAAGTGACGTGCGTCTGTTCACTAAATCATGAGCTGCAGTTGAAGGCTGCGCAGAGTGTGAGTAACCATAAGCGAGTGGTGCAGAGAGCCGAAAACATTTGGAAATGTTTTGTAGAAAAAGCCTTTTGTACAATGCACTGTAATCATTAATAGGGATGCAATGATTAGCTGATTTCACTTATAACTGCGCTTTAATTCGTCACAGTTAATTAATCGTAAAGGCTTCTCTAAGCCGCATTTCTGTTGCACGGAAAAGTTATGACAAGTTGCCCACTGTGCGCTAGTTTAAAGTTACAAGCATGTACACGGAGGCTAATACGCAAGCACACCGGATTAACTATAGCAGCAGCCGTTCCCATATCCGTCTTTTCCGTTTGCAAGTTTGTTATTTCTAATGTAAGAATGACAATATGCGCGCACAAGCAGAGCAACGCGCTTGCCTCTGTCCGGGTGCACGCAGTAGAAAACATCTCACAGTGAGAGTTATGCGTGGCTTTCAGTGCAATGTAAACAAAAGATATGTTAGACATGAACCCAGATGATAATAACAGTTAATCTAATTAGCTACTTCCCTAATATAAAGCTTGTTGTTCTAAATTACATTAGACGTGATAACCGTGAAAGCATGATTATTCTTCAGACTATATCGTACAACCAAAATCTATAATGTTGCATCACTAATTGTAATGCTGTTCAAAACATAACATATGAATGTAGAAAAAGCCAGCAATGCACTGCTTTTGTTGTGCGAAATACAACATTTTAAAAATGTGTGTAAAAAAAAAAATCAATTGGACAATGCAGTTGTTTTAAAATACAATATATTAACATTTTAACGTCGAAAAAGCCAAATGTAGTTGTGTCATCACTCATATAGCAAGTCATATCTCTCCGGCCCTTCTTCAGGATGCTTTTCAGGAACCGGCCCCCATGCCAAACTGAATGAATAGCCCTGGTGTAAATCATTGAATCAGATTAGACCATTAGCATCTCGCTCAAAAATGTTAAATAAAGAGTTGATAATTCTCCTTTTTTAAGCTTCACTAATCAGTCGTTACATCATAAATAAGACAAATGGAAAAAGAAACTGCTTTTTTCTAGGTTAATATGTCTAAGAATTATACCCTTATTCCAGTGTAATAATCAAAAATACACACTTTTTCTGGAGAAATATGCATAAATACAATAAAATGTATGTATTTTAAGAATTTAGGAAGATCTTTTCAGAAAGGTGCATTCTTGTCAATATGTCTCTGATAGGTGTAAATTTCTAAACTGCATCATAGATACTGCAGGATTTCTTGTTTTAATATATTTTTTTCTTATTGATTTTCAAGTAGACACATACACAAACCCCACAGCTATTACCCAGAATAGAACATATAATAGTTTTACAGCTGTCAATACCTTAAGTAAAAAAAATCACAGGTGTTTAAAGAGACACTGTAAGATTTCTGCTTAAAGTCATCTACCAAACACAATATAACATACATTGGATCAATTAATGCAAACCGAAGAGTTAAAACAAAACTGTTAAAAATAATTTACCCTATGGGTAAATAAACTTTTTTTTTTTTTTAAGTTTTGTAATGTAATGTGTATTTATATAGCGCATTTATGGCCATGCACCCAAAGTGCTTCACAATCATGAAAAGGGTGTCTCCACACCACCACCAGTGTGCAGTGTCCACTTGGATAATGCGAAGGCAGCCACAGGACAACGGCGCCAGAGCGCTTACCACTCACCAGCTATAAGGGGAGTGGAGAGACAGTGATAGAGCCAATTCAGTGGATGGGGATGATTGGAAGGCCATGATGGGTAAGGGCTGATATAGGGAATTTGGCCATAACACCAGGGTTACACCCCTTCTCTTTACGAGAAGTGCCATGGGATTTTTAATGAGCACAGAGAGTCAGGACCTCGGTTTAATGTCTCATCCGAAAGACGGCGCTCACGGACAGTATAGTCTCCCTTTCACTTTACTGGGGCATTAGGACTCACACAGAACGCAGGTTGAGCGCCCTCTGTTGGCCACACTAACACCACTTCCAACAGCAATCTAGTTTTCCCATGTGGTCTCCCATACAGGTACTCCCCAGGCTCAGCCTTGCTTAAGCTTCATTGAGTAACTGGTCTTGGACTGCAGGGTGATATGGCTGTGGCAAGTTTTACATTCAGAACCCAACTTTTGGACATATACATACAAACTAATACATATTGCACAACTCTACAGTAGAGTTAAAGTTAGTTATAGTAGTAGTTATAACGATCTTATGTAATAAAGACATTCAAAAATTCCCAAATATATTAAATACTATACAAAAGATACTTTTTTTTAAAAAATAAAACAAACCTTAATCAGAGCAGGGATGACTGCCTGAACAGTCTTGTTGATGACTTGGAAGCTGTAAGTATCATCCAAGCGCATGATGTTGGCTCCCATGAAAGTGAAGATGGGCATGATGTTGTGAAGAACCTTCTCCTGAAAGCAGAAATAAAGACGACGACCACTGCATTTAAATATAGGTTTGCCTGCTGCAAGATCTTACCAGTGTCAATATTAGCATTTGACAATTTCCAATATTTGTAAACACAATAAAAAATAATATTCCTCCTATATTTCCTCAAGTATTCCAATTTTCATCAATTGTTGTGCATGAGTGGGTGTTTAATGACTGCACTTACAGGGAAGATGCCGGCCAGAGCCCCGAGCAGAAGCAGAGCATGATGGTGAGTTTGGGGCATTTCTGACACCCTGACACACTGAACGACCAGCTCCATATTAAACTTATCCTCCTCCAGCACATCTACACACACAGAGACACACACAAATGCAGCATGTCTTCAAGATTCTTGACCTAAAGAAACTCAAGAGAAAGCTTACAACTGCATTTTTCAAGGCAAAATTATGGTACATTTTATAACTATTTTATAAGTGCGGTTTAACAAAGATATATTCCCTCATTATTTTTTAACATAACAGTTTTGATAGCTATTTTGTAATGACTAACTTTCTTTTTGACGATACAAAATTTTATTTTGCAGGACACTAGTACTTAGTTTACGTGTAATTTAAAGGCTTAATTAAATATCCCGGCAATTTTATTAGGTACGCCTTACTGTTACCCCGGAGATGAGGCATGGAGGCAGTGGTTTTTATATTTATGTAGAAAATAATACATTTTGTAAAATTTTAATCCTTTATTTTTTTCATTTTTAAAATATTTGTGTATTGCTGTACATCCTGTGGGTATTAAAGGTTAAGCACCACTTAAGACAACGTTAGCACCTGTTAACTTTAATTGTGGGGAAAACTGGATAATTTCGAGCTTTTGTCTGCTAATTTTATCTTCCGGTTTTAAAATAATTTTTGGGGCTGGATCAGTGATGTAGCACGAATCTGCATTGCATCGATTTCATATTATTATTCATAGCTAAGTTTTCCTATCCTATGAAAAGACCATGCTTCTTAATTATTCATGACTGCAAAGGCTTTCCAAAGGCAACCTTATTGCATCGGGTGTATGATAGGGCCTATAGGTTCCTTAGTAAGTTATCAGATTTTGTTCTATCAAATAAAAGAATGGTTTTATATTGTTGATAAGAGCCCTATGCCTTATAAATACCTAAAGTGAATCATAATACTAACTTTTATGAACACATTATTGATAGCTTTAAGTAATACGCATTAATAACACTATTATAAATGTAGCAATAACTATCTGTATAATACAGTATAATGTTTGCTGTATCTTTATAGGTACATTAATAGAATGATTATAAATTAGAGGTGTGAACCTACACTGGTCTCACGGTTCGGTTACCATTATTATGCCATTGATTCGGTTCAATTTGATATCTCGGTGCATTGACGATGCTTTCCATACACAGTGTTATATTTTAGGGGGTGGCTGTAACAAGCTGTCTGTATAAACACACACACATACACACACACACAATCACACTGTCTCTCACACACAAACATAGACAGCACTAAACAAACATGCACACATGCACGCACGCACGCACACACACACGTCCACAAATAGTCACACCAACATACATTCGCACACACACACTCATAAACAAAGACTTGTACACACACACACGTCACGTGCGCTTGCTTGCTCGATCGGGAGCGATATCCACTCCTGTTAAAATTACACCAGTTACCGACCGCTCCCGCACTATATTCGGAAATGTATTCGCATGAAATCTGGTCAGGTCCTGCGACAATGCACAGGTACAGCCGCGGGAATGCATACAGCCGAGAGGAAAAGAGAGGGGAGGAAAAGTCACGCCAGCAGCCGAGAGGAAAAGAGAGGGGAGGAAAAGTCACGCCAGCAGCCGAGAGGAAAAGAGAGGGGAGGAAAAGTCACGCCAGCAGGTGAAATGGGCCACAGTGAGAGTGAGAAAGAAATGGAGTACTTTCATTCCCTCAATTGGAGAGAAATAGGGCCTTCTTCTGCAACTGTCAGTGAAAGACTGTACAGAAATCACACACACGCAGTGAAACTATGCACAGTTGGCGCCAGGAGTGTTGTAAATACCCGCGCTCACCTCCCTCGCGACGAAGCGCATTTGAGGTAAATGACGTCAGTAAATAATAAACGGTTATGATCATTACTGAACTAATACCGAATTGTCCGAGTCTGCATCGCTGTGCACCGAAAAAACAATTAATTTTGACACCCCTATTATAAATAATTGGAACAGTTGTAGTTCATAATAAGCAGGAGCTTCATAGAAAGTGTTAGCAAAAAAGACTGCAGAAGAAATATTAATTTCCTTGCTCTGTTAAACATCATTTGGGGAAACTGAAAAGTTAGCAATGTTAATTTCACAGAAGGGCTAAAACTTTGTCTTCTATTGTATATCCATTGCAAATTAAAGTGACAAAAAAAGAATAAATAAAACTGGATGTTTGTTATTCCTTATAGTCTGCAAAATTATTTCACATCCATATGCAAGGCAATTACATACAGAGGGATAAAGACAGAAAAACAACATTAGACTACTTTTACGCCATCTTTTTAACCATTATTATGTTTTTATAGGCATTAACGGCAGATTTGTGATACCTTTGCTGATTGGCCCTCCCTCTGGAGACAGTTTCTGACAGACATTCAACAGGCAGATGAGGATGAGCTGTTTTGTGTACTCTATATTCTCCTGTTCAGCAGCAGCAGGTTCCAGACACCTGTAGTGAAAAAACACACATTCACAATTCATTCTACTGACATATTTCAGAGTGTGTTTAATCAGAGTCGTTGTTGAGATTTGGTTTATCGATCTTGATTTCAGAGAAATAGAACATTCTTGCACAGACATCAAATTTGCAAGCTTGGTATTAAATAATAATGAATAAATCATATTTCCACTCAGCCCCAATTTTTGCATTTGTTTTTTAAATCACTTCAAGACAGTAAAATCTGTATTGGATTTTTCTCCCAGTGAGTATAGTTGTCATGTATGTTTAAATCCACACTTTACAACCATTATCAGGACTGCTTGATACTGGAAAAAATGAAAATTGCAATATTTTGCTTTTTTACATTATATATTGCAATTTCACAAGATGACTGAATAGCTTTTATTTGAAAGACCTCATAATTTAGGGGAGTATAAGCTACAATAAACAAATTAGAAACATAACTAAATTCAAAGAAGCAAAAGATATAAAATGCAGTGCTTTACGATTTTCTAGGGAGTTTAATAGTAGTCAGAAAGATGAACAGATTTGTATACATGTATAGTCTGAAACCCTTCACTGTTAGGTTAAACTAGAACTGTAGTATCTGGTCAACTGTAATCCCAAACCGATCTGCGTCCACACCGGCATTTCATCATTTTTGTAAAGCTCTCCGTCCACACAACACCGCTAAAAACGTATGTCACATGACCATACACGCACTCTAGCATGTGCTGCAGTGCATGTGCACATCTGAGCTCCAGGAAGTCAGCGGGTGCTTTGAGCACAAAACCCCAGGTGAGAGCAGCACACGTAGAACAGATCATCTAGGAACTACTGCTGGATATCACTATAGTTGTTGAATGTGATGTTCAATTAATCTCGTCTCTAATCTAATGACTCTTTGGGTCTTTTAAATCATTTACTTGATAACCACGTGGGCTGATGATTCTGAACATTTGACTGATTGATTACCTTTTTTCCAATATAATACAAACTTATTTTATGTTATACTTTTATAATGGCCATTTTTGATTATTAAAATTGACATTCAGCAAAATAGACAGGCTATGTTTCATATTTTTCAATTAAAATGAAATCAAGCAGTAATGGTATAGGTTCCATTTTGTAATATTCATACAGTGAAGATGACGCTCATATAAATATGTAGCTACACGACAACTTTCTATTTTTGGTCTCTGTTAAGATGTTAACATCAAAATGAAAAGAAGCAGTTCCTTATTATTAAGCCAGGGTGATGTGAATGACGTTATAAAGTACACTGTTCCTTTTGAAGATTTATCCGACGTGTCCTCCTTTGAACTTACAAGGAAAGGATGCAAGACTGAACCTTGTGTACTTAATTTAAAAACGCCCCAATCAGATAGTAGAACGTCTGCCGCCACACCTCCATTTTCAGATGTCTCAGTTTTCCCCCATCCACACTCACACGGAGCAGCAGTGTTTTGAAACCAAAACTGCCTCTTCAGGGTTTCCAAAACGCTCCCTTTTCAGGACTTGAAAACTCCGGGGTAGTGTGGACAGAAGGCAGAACCGTAGCAAGACTTATACGTATTTGAGTAAACAAGGCCTAAATGTTGTAGAAAGTACACGTTTAAGCCACTAGGTGGAGACAAGCAACCATTAAAAGTGTCGCTGAATAATTCAATACATTTTTAGCGTGACATCGATTCGAAATGTAAGCCCCACCCAATTGTTGGGGAAACCCAGGAAAATTGAAACCTGTGGCCCCGCCCACAAACAATAGCAAAGAAAAAGAGTAAGACAAACGCTGTAACAGATCCCGGTTAAATCAAGTTGTGTAGACGCTGTGCTCAGCTGGATGTTATTGGAAATGTAAGGGGAAAATTAGTTTTATTTTCTCTACCCAAAAATCAAACTGTGAAGAGTCAGTGGTTGAGGTTTATTTTTACAAAAATACCTCCGGTTGAAATTATGGGGGTAAATAACAAAACCCCTGGGAAAAACAGTTGTGTTGGCAGAGTGTTGGCAGGTATACTCAAACATGAACGCTGTCGACCAATCGCAACATACTGTCATCGGTCCAATCAGCGCAGATTAGCTTCGCGCTAAGAAGAGGTTTGGGAACAAATTAATCGCTGAACGAATCAAATTTTTTAGGATAATTAGGTAAAATAAATGCAGATTATAAGACAATAAAAGTGTTTTTGACCTTGCATGCATATCAGCCTGTTTTTTGGAGACCCTTAAAAACAAAATATGACCCTTTTTAATGTACAATAGGGGCTCTTTATTATGAAAAACATTGAAAAAAAAGTGCAAGTTATTTATTTTTACTTTTTTACAAGAAAAATTGTCTGTAGGTTTAAGGCAACAAGTGTTTTAATTTCAGTTGTTCACTGTTGATGTTCAATAAATAATCATAGTAGAGTGTTTCCCTCAATTACTTTAAAATCAAGTAATGCACCCTTCATTCAAAAATCTCTCACTTGTAATATGTGAGCATATTTACAGTACACAACCTGTCAGTGAACGAAGAGGGCAAAAAAAATTTTTTTGGGCCAAATCGCCAGGCCCTGATCTACAGTATAATCATAAACAGAATCTATATTTTAAACAAAATAAATGTGATTTGCCAGTTTAAAGAGAATCCTTCAGCTCTACTTGATATTATTGTAAAACATCTAGAAATCAAAGTAGATGTTGTATTAACATACCTTGAGAGCAAATTAAACAGAGCGGGCACTAGATACTGAGCCCTCTTAAGTTTCTTCTTGTGTTGAAGCAGCTCTAAAATTAGCGTCACCCTTGGCCAAGAAACAACACTCTCCTCTGGCACTGCCCCAGATGTGTCTTGTGTTTTTCTAGGAGAAAACAAACTGCAGTCTGAATCTTCAAACCTCTTAGAACTGGAATATTTGCGGTGTACTACGAAAGTACAACCACTCACCTCATTTTACTTCTGCGCGTTTGTTGAACTGTTGCAGTAACTCTTTGTTTATCGGCAGGAATCAGCTCATTGGCCACAAGCTCGCAATCCACTGCAATCTAGAAAGAGACACACGGCAAACATTTTTACAGGTTTACATTTATTGCTCTGATTAAATGAAAAAAAAATTAATAAATATAAAATAAATAATCACTTTTCTTCTAAATAATTTTAGTTAAATAAAATCCTTTTGTTTAATATACAGAAATGATTCAGTTTTTGCAGTTCATAGAGAAGATATGAAGATTTCCCCTACCGTTTTAAAGACACTGTTGATACTTTGGGCGCAGGCAGGGCTTTTATTCCCAACAAGCAGGTCAAACAAAATCGAAAGAATCTTCTGTTGAATCTTTTCATCTCCAATAGCAGTGAAGAACGGCTTGGTAATCTGAGGAAACATCCCATCAAAATACACAGACAAATAAAGCTCTGAAAATAATCCAGTCAGGGGCAATTATCATTTCTGTTTGAATATAGATTCACGTTATAGAAGCAATTCATCATAAAATGTAACTTTTATATTTATTATTAATATTTAATCAATAATAGAGCTTGAACTTCATGTTTACAATTGAATATCAATACTTTTAGCCCTCCTGTGAAATCTGATCTGTTGTAAAATTATTTTGTAGCCAATCGGAACAAAAAATTGTTATGAGGCTAATAAGTCTAAGTCTAAAATAAGTTTTAAAACACAGATTTCTAAAACTGATTTTGTTCCAGCCAAACTAAAAGAAACAAGACTTTTTTGATAAGAAAAAATATTGTATAAAATACAGTAAAAAATTTATTTGCTCCGATAGATATCACTAGGGGAATAATTGGAAAATAAAAACAAATTAATTAATTCAGAGGAGGGCTAAAGGCTGATTTATACTTCTGGCCATCGCCGTCACTGACGTGCACCTCTCAAAAAATGTAACTACACGTCGCAACGACGCGTAGCGTAAGCTCTGTGATTGGTCGGCTTGGTAGCGCTGACGAGTCTGGGCGGGACCGAGAGCCGCGCGAATGGCGCGAGCGATTGTTTACAAGTGTGGAGTCCCGTGAAGGAGCTCCGGATGGAAAGTTTTGTTTTGTGTTTACCTCATAGTTAAAGTTGTTGCACGTCTGCCGGTTCCTGCCTCAAAAAGAGAGAGTTTGAGCCACTTGTACATCCCGGAAGTGTTCAGGAAAAGCAAAAAAGTAGCGAAGAAACTCGACACAGAGGAACATTTACACTTCACTGCCAACTAGCGTTTCGGAAGTGTTAATGCAGACCAACAGAGACAGCGCGCAGAAGTATAAATGCACAGCTACGCGCGTTGCATGCACCGTTGGTTACGCTGGTCACCTGACGCAGAAGTATAAATCAGGCTTAACAATTTTGCCATCAAATATTTGAAATCTACTTGCAATGGTGGGCGGATTGAAACACACCATTTACCCACATGACATAAATACTTAACTATATAAGACAAACAAAACAGAATTTAATTATTTAACAATAATTTTATACTATTCAGGAACCCCACTGACAGGAACATTATGTTACTACAAAAAAAGTCAAGCTTTAAATGGTAAAATTATTCTTGAAGCAAAAATGTATATGTTTCGGGTCTCTCCGGAGCATTTGGGCTAATTGTTTGACAGTGTCTATCTAAATAAGGATGTTATAAAATATATTTTCAACAGAGTTATTAACAGAGAATTTCTGTGGTGTTATATTATGGATGGTGCGCTCCCTGCGCTGGCGAGACCACTCAATGTTCGATGCCAACAGTCGGTCGGTGAGTAAATGAACATGATGAATGAGAACACACAGGCCTGTGCGTATAGACATATAATGTAATGTCGTACAGTAACGTGTCATTTGTTTGTTTCGGTTGTCTTCGTCTCATTAGACGTTTTGGTTTAAATTGTTTAAACTTTCTAAAATATTTATCTCTTCAGGTTATATTTATCTCTTCAAGAAACAACAAAAAACTCTTTAACTATTTAGTCTAAAAACAGTTTAGTCTCCACTTTCCTTCCTTATCTGCAATTGACTCTCTGGTTCTACCGCTAACTGTATTACAAAAAAAATGTATAAAAATAAATTACTAATGTTTTGCTTCTTACACTTTACAGACCTGAAACTTGCCTACAGCAGTTATTCATTGTTGCTCTTATAGTTGTGTAAATTGCTTCCTTGTCCTCATTTGTAAGTCGCTTTGGATAAAAGTGTCTGCTAAATGACTAAATGTAAATGTAAAGTGTTAAACACGTCCCCTTAAATGGTATATAAGTGACCAAAAGTGTTTAAAGGGCCATGAAACCCCCTCGTTTCAGCAGGGTGTTTTCACACCTCTACTTTGGAAAAAGTCAGAAAAGTGGGCGTGTCCAGCTCTGTTTAGGGGGGAGTGTCGGAGGAACTAAAGTGGGAGGGTGTGGGAGTGTCTATTTGGGCGCGCTGAATTTCAGTCAAAATACACACATGAGAAAGTGATGGTGTTTAACCTACATGGACATCTGTAGTCGAATTATTTGCCAAATTATTAAATGTTGGACTTTAACTGCAGTTTGGCTCTTTCATTCAGGGAATTCATTCATGCCCCTCGCGACAAACGCGATATTTGATTCGAGGATCTGCTCCAAGCGTGTATTTTTCATGCAATGTTTGATACCGCACGGCGAATGAGAGAAAAAAAAACTCCGCAATTCCCGGAAACTTAGATGCACACGGCAGGTAGCGTCAGAAAGCCACGTGTGTTATTCCGGTCACAAAATGCGGTGCTAACAAGTTTGCACTCAGTGCAATAGTTAACTTAATTCGATACGAACAAACTGAATAAACAAAGAGCACTGGTCGCTCACTTACCAAATCTGTAGAGACAGGACAATCTCCAGCAACTAGAGCCGCGTCTTTATGAAGAGAAGACTAATGTTACAAGCGAATCCGGATTTCAGCGTTTGCAGATGAGAACAGCTCTCAGTTAAGCAATGTTCCTCCTTAGACATGTAAGTTATTGTTGTCGCGCGTCGCGTACACTGTTAATCCACACGTGAGTCTGAGCTCTCACAGAGAGAAAAGGAAAACGAAACTTAACTGCAGCAAACTATAAAAGCAACACTTCACGCTTGTTTTGCCAACACAACGTGGCGTCTCTGTGGTGTAAACAGTGACACTAATGAATATTAATGAAGTTGCACAATAGAGCGCGCTGATTGGTTTGAACCAAGCCTTACTCATGCATTAATGCAGCACACTGTGAGACGTAATAAGACTCACTCTGGCACAGACGCCCAGTCTGCACGCTGGAATACACGCTATTATGTCATGACCGTGACGCAGCTTCAAAAATTCGTTTCAAACAGGAAGTACGAATTTGCTTGAAATAACGCAAAAACAACCAATTTACACTTTTTAGTGAAATATAGGTGTCTTAATAGTGTTTTTAGCAGTGTGGGACACATATACGACTGTCAACAGCTCAAAAAATGTGTTTTGGTGTTTCGTGACCCTTTAAGGGTGAATCTGAAAAATGGCTCTGGTCATATAAAATCTCTAAACTGAAAATGTACATTCCAGGAGATTTTTTCATGGGATTTAAGCACATTGCGCACAGTACATTATTAATTATTGAATCACTATTAAATAAAATCAGAGAAGCTTTTTAGTGATTTGTGAAAAACAGCTGCTGACTGTAGAACACAAAACCTTTCTTAACCATCCACCAACCTGCTCCAGGGCAGTAATCTGGAAGCTGGGGATAGTAGGGTATGGCCTGGCTGAGGTGTGGAGTGCTCTAATGAAGACCTCAAGGCATCGAGGATCTTTGACCAGTAAAGGTGCCGACATCTCACTGAACTTGCTCAACAAGAGCTGCAGAAGAAGAGCCTCGTCTGGCAGGAAGGTGCAAGAGTCTGGAGCACACTGTTCAAGAAGGCGCTCCACAGCAGGAAGAAGAACAGACAAAACAGGCTGGAAAAAACAGAGCATTATCATAAAAATAAGAAACACACAAAATAAGCGTAGAGGACTAGTAACTACTCAAGCCATTCTCCGATGGGTTATGCTTAAAGTAATAGTTCACCCAAAAAGATTTTTTCTTGTGCGGAAGATTTGAAAAGTACTCATCTGAAGAGCTGAATTAAAGTTACAAGTGTAAAGTTCTAGTGCAAATTAACTCTTTCTTCTCAAGGTTGAGACTCAGTTATGACCAATAATTATATCTATCTGTCCGACCTGATGAGCAATCAATCGGTTATGCCTTGGAATGTAAACATTCGGGAAATTGCATGTCTGTAACTTTCTCACTGTGTTGTGTCATGAAAACATCTTATTACTGCTGTTTGTGTTTTTAATATTAATCAAAGAACAAAATATTATGAAATCACTTTGCTCTTGATTGAATAGCTGTATCAGGCTATAGACAAGGATCAGAGGGTGAAATTTAATACTTGAAGTCCCTTTTAAGACTATTTCCATAAGGTTACTTTAAGTTTTACTGGTGATAATTTAACTTATTGTATATTTACTAAATATTGATTGTAAAAAACATTACTCAATAACGAATAAAAATATTAATCCAGCAGGTGACGCCTATAGGAATAACTGGTTACTCTAGTAACTGTTAATTATAACTGTAACTGGTTAATTGGTTACTCTAGTAAATAAAGTAGTGTGATGTTTCTTAGCTTTTTCAGTAAGCACACAGCACCCCAATATTTGCAGATTAAATTCATTCAAACATTAGCAAACAACTAGAGATCGTATCAATAAAGGATACAAAATGTAATACCATGTAAAATAGCATGTAAGACCTTTAAAATACTTTAAGACCTAAATATCTCTAAACTGATTTAATACTTTTTAGGACCCAGCAGACACCCTGTATGTAGTTCAGTAATGGTTAACCATTATTTAATTTTCACTGTGAAGAAGATTTTGAGTGTTATTTGATTATTATATCAGTTCATGAAACTGAAAAATTCTCAGGGTTCCCACTCTTTCACAGACACCAGACTAAAAACCTTTTAAGGACTTTCTAAAATCACTAATAATTTTAAATCAAGCAGCTTTCTGTATTTGACACTTTAAATGTATAGTGTAGTATGTAAAAGTGTAGTTGAAATGTCATCGTAATGATGATGTTTTGAATGTGTCATTTTCAAAAATGTATACCTTTTTGTATCAAAAATGTATACCTTATGAAAAATGTATACCTTATGAAAAATGTATACCTTATGAGTCATGTTCAAAGAACTAATATACAGTTATATACAGTTAAAATGCAGTTTCTAAAATAGTGATTAAATGTGCATTATTTGTCACAGTTCGTGTACAAGATTTTTAGTTTTTTTTTATTCAGCTTTTGAAAGCAACACAGCATAATTGCTTAAAAAACACCATAAACCTTAAATTCAAGCCTTTTCAAGATCTTTTTGTTTTTTGTACTTTCCAGGCCTTGAATTCATATGTCTGAAACTTAAGCATTGTCAAGAAACGTGGGAACCCTGACCAGTGCTAGGTACATAAAAAACCTGAAAGCACTGTTTATTTCAGTATTATCTTTGTTATATTGTATTCATTTCGTTTAGCTTTTTTTCTTTGCTTTGTTTTTTTTACAGTGCTTTAACTGAACATTTCATATACCATACCGAAACTGTGACTTAAAACTGAAAACCGAACCATGAGACGTCTGTATTATTGCAACTACAACAAACAGCCTGATGATAGTACCTCTCCGTGAACATCCTGAAGAGCCCGCAGAAGTGTTTTGGAGGTGTAGGAAGGACAGAAGGGAGACTGTAAACACTGAAGGAGCTGCTCAACTGATGCCAACTTTTTATTCTTATCTTTCCGTGAAACGGCCTCCTCGTAGAACTTGGACAATGCCTACAATAAATTCAGAAGTCATTTGATTATGGAAATTACTGAGTGTATTACTGAGAGCAATAAAAACATTCAAGAGCCAGTTGTATTTAGTTTTGACTGACTTGGGTAAGATATGAGGAGTCAGCGATGATCTCCTCTGATGATTTGAGGAGTTTCTCCACAAGCGGATGATACGGTGAAGAAACAAGCCCAGAGAGACACTGGAGCACAGCGATGGCAGCTCTACGAACTTCACACACGCCTGAACATACACACACCAGCAGAGACGGCACCACTGCAAATATACAAACATAGAGAGAGATGCATGTTAGTCATGGTGGAGAACAAACTTTCTGTGGAGGATCCAATGAAATGAAAGTAAACAAAATTAAATGAAAAAAATACTAATTAAAAATAAAATTAATTATTCTGCAGGAATAAAAGTATATCAAAGTAAATCAAAAATTTAATTTATTATATTATTTTAAATTTACTGTATTCAATAAATGAAACTTTAATTAAAAATTGGACTGTAGTATTAACATTATTTAAAACATTAAACAATCATTTTAGCAAATCAAAGCCAGTTTTGTGTAAAATTATTTGATTCTGTCTGTCCGATGTATTTTAATACAGTTTTTGTGTGCCTGAGGTATTTTCAAAAATATTTTTAGATTTATATTCATGCTTCATGCATCATAAGTATCATTCACACAACACACAGAATAGATAACAATTGCATGTATTGTTTCAACTTATTATTTATTTTCTTAAATAAATAATATAAATAAAATAAATAAATTAATACTGAAAAAAAATACACAATTTAACTGCTCCTGGCTTAGCTATAAATGGAGAGTATTTTTTATTTATTTTTATTTAATAGATATTTTTTCCTTCTATTTTAAGTAAATTTTTTCAAATGATTTTTTTTTCTACTGCAGTACCTTTTGCATATTTGTTTATATATTTATCTGTATTGCTATAATGTCTAATTTGTTACTTTTATCTATAATGGTAATTATTTATATATATATTTGTGTTTTTATATTGATTTTATGGCAAAAATATGTTATTGCATTGCTTAACTCAGAGAAAGAAAATGTGAGCTAATTGTTTTCTGCTGCTAGATTTAGATTGAAGCAGTTGATGAGTTGTGATTCTTTGTATATGTTGCTTTGACTTCATGACTAATAACAATAAAAAACTAAAAAAAAAACTAAAGTTAAACTAAAAAAAGTAACTCTACATCATTACCTATAAATATAATCATAAGATTATTCAAAATGAAATATTTGATTGACTAAATAATCAATTACAAAACAATTGAAAGCTTTTGCAAATGCTATTTTCCAATATCCAGTGTAGTAATACAAATAAATACACAAAAAGCCACACGACTAACCGCAAGTGTAACTAAAGGTAAATGCTGATATACCTGGTGAGGAATCTGACGCCAGCAGGTTGAGGGTTTTTACAGGCTGGCTGGACAGAAAAGCCTTTCCCACATAAAGAGCCTGAGTCTGAAGAATGGCACTGACTCGACAATCCAACTGATCGCCTAAATTGCTGTTGTAGCCCCATAACAGAGACAGAAACTTAAACAGGACCATCGGCTCATTCAGGTGCACCTGTAAAGTAAAGAAACCAAATATATAAAAAAATGCTAAGATTCGTTAAAGTCGACAAATTAATAAAGAAGCACCCGAAATTACATGAGACTCCGGAGGGAATGTGGATATCGCTGTGACGCAATGACGTTGATCTAATTATGTGCTATAACATGTAAAACGCGATCATGAAAGAAACATTCAAAAAGCAACTCATGTAAACGCCTTAATGTTATTATTTTCCTAATTAGATAAAGGCAAAAAATTCCATTACTGATGTCCGTGTAAACGTAGTCACTGTCATTACCTGAGTCAAATATGGGCAAAAAAAATCCGATTCAGGCCACAATTGGCTGCAGTTTGAACGTAGCCTAACTGAAAAGTGTAAAAAGGGAATCTGGATCAAACACAGATTTGAATGCAGCACATTGAATGATTAATAAACATTTGCAAATCATTATCCTTAATAATTTATGCTGCGTGGGTGTTTGAATTGAGATCCTGAACTTTTAATGAGTAATTGTGAAGCTATACACCGGGTTCATACAGGCACAACTCGATGACTTTTAAGCACTTTTTCAAGCACTTATTTTTATTTTCAAGACTGACACACAACTTATTAATACAATTTTTTCAAATAAAAAACATTACTAATAGTATAATAATTATATTAATAATTGAGAATTTAATAAACATGTTTGTGAAATGTTTTTTTAATTTGTTGATGGTCTCGCAGGTGAAAAAGAGAACTGAACATTTGTTCTGTAGCAACTGGGAAGAAGTCCTTAAGGTTGACGAAACCCACGAGTAATTTTTTTGAGATTTTAACAGATTTGTGTGTGTTGAGCATCAGTTAAGACAATGTTAGCACCTGTTAGCTGTAATTATGGGGAAAACTGGATAGTTCTGTGCTTTTGTAAGCTAATTTCAGCTTCCGAGTTTAAAACGATTTTTGAGGGGGGATCAAAATCTGCGACGTAGCGCAGTACTGCAAGTGCAAAGATGACGCGTCAGTTTTTCATTATTATTCATAGTGGAGTTTTCTTATCCTATGAGATAGAGCTGGCTTCTTAATTATTCATGACTGCACGTGCTTTCCGAAGGCAAGACGTTGATGATGGTGTTAGACCGCGTCCACGGACCTACGGCACACAGTATCTAGCTGTTCATGAAGGGTCGTATGTTTTTGTTTCCATGATCCACGGGGTTTGTTGTATGTTTTTCCTGTGATGCTGTAAGGGCAGATACAGCAAAGCTGTGTGTGTGCAGCGAGCATTTTTGTCGGGAGAGCAGTACGAGACTTTAAGGGGGCTAAAGATTTTATTGACCTTAAAAATATAATAGGAAAACATAAAAATAATACATATAATATAATTAGACAAATTATAATACAATATACTGTGACACTTTCCATACTCTATGAAACATCACTTGGGAAATATTTAAACGATTTAATATGAGGGCTAATAGTTTTGCCTTGAACTGTATAAGGTTGAGGGAAAATAAATAATAAATGAGACTTTTCCATTTAAACTACAGTATCAATTAAGGTGTAGTTTGAAGTAATTTAGAGATGTTAAATATGCAGCTCTTCGTTAATCATTATGTGTTAAGAGAATCAATTACCTGTAATAGAGGCTGCATTAGGCTCCTGAAGCAGGGAGCCAAGGGCCCCTGACTGGCCCCTGATATCACCACATCAAACAGACGACAGAGGAGACGCAGGTAACAGCATGTAGTAGTCTCCATTTTCTCTGGGTTCCACCATGGCTCACCTGAAAACAATTTTATTACATAGTAATTACACGGTATATAACGATTCTCACAATCTTACGATTTGGTTCATTTCACAATTTTGATTTAAAGATTTATTTAACAAAACACATTATATTGAATGCAATGACAGTGTTCAACACTAAGGGCCCTATTATACACACGGCGCAATGTGGTGCAAGGCGCGGGGCAATAGTCTTTTGGTAGCATCAGCTTGGCGCAAGAGTCATTTTGAGGTGTTGCACCACGCTGTTTATATAGCAAATGCATTAGCGCTCATTTGTGCGCCCATAGGGAGTTCTGGTCTAAAAAGTAAGGCGTTCTGAGGCGCACTGCTGGCGCGTTGCTATTTTGAGAAACTAAAATAGATTTTTCATTAGACCAAAACTAACCCGGTCTAAACTCCGGCGCAGAGTTGCGCCTCGCTTACGCACTGCTTAATATGCACAAGAGAGCAATAGGCAAATATGTTTACATATGAAAAAATTTAAACGGATTTATATAAATTTTTTATATAAATTTTTTTTAATATAAATTTTACGGATATATATATATAGGATATAATAAAAATAGATATATGATGTAAATATAAAGGATTAAAATATTACAAAACATATTACAAAACAGTGCATTTCTCAGCACAACACCGGGACTGCAGTCAGATCATGAAGCAGCACAATGTTGATCTTTCTTTCAAGTTGTCAGTCCAGAAATGAACAAAACAACAGGTCTAACACAAAATATTATGAGATTAAGATATGGAAAAGGTATCAGATAATAATTTTGGTAAATTTCCTAATGGATAAACAGCACACAGTAATATTTCAGCATGGTTTTACTTTCGTATTTGACATGAAACACACATTTGCAGGTAAGAATGATGACATCCCACCTTACTCATCATTCTCTTTATATAGCTGTATATGTGGCTATTACACAATCAAAATACATGGTGATATAGCCTGGTTTGTTAGTTCGTTGGATTGTTCTACTTTCTCACTACAATAGATTCGGTCCAAAGTTCGTTTTAATTGAGCCGAGACCACCTCATTCAGCCGACCTCGGAACAATCGATTTGGCAGGATTCACATATGCTGAACGAACCGCGATAACTAGGCAACTAAGAGAGATTCTGAAACAAATGTCTAGATGTGAAAGCACCTGACTGTATTTGCATGCAATTGACAAACAAATTAAACTTTTTGGACAAGGCAGCACTGGCCCGATCAGGCCATTAACCATCCGGCCTACTGACCCTGCGCCATCGGGCAGTCCTTATTGTCGAGCCCTGAATGAGTTTAAAGGTACATTATATCATTGCATATGTGAGATTGGAAAAATGACAAATATTCAGAAAGAAATGAAAGGGATAATAAAGAATATACTTTGTGTTATTATGCCACTGTCACCTCTAATTATATATTTCATTTATACCTAAAGAAAAAAAAGATTAAAAAGACTGAATGTATATTCAAGCTAATTGGAAAAATCTGTTGTGAGGGGTATCCCGCATGGAGATCAGCATCACCCTGGCAACACAACTAGAACACCTGGAGATCATCATCAAGGGCCAATCAATCACCGCTGACATAAATCAAGCCACCCCATAAAAGAGAGGCTCAGAGACCCAAGAGGTGAGCCACGATTGCATTACGCTGATGCTTACTTGTTTCTCCGTTTTCCCCAGATTGTGACTGCTTGGCCCAAAGAGGACGCACTAGACACAGTGACCTGGAGAGGAAAAGAAAAAAGACACCCAACGCACCCGAGTACTTATAACCTCACTTACCGGTTTGTTTGCACTTCTTGTAAATTAATACACTCTTTGGGGCTTTACTCACAGTTCTGCCTTGTCGTGTGCTTCTTCACCAACTCTCAGTGGTGGAAAATGCAAACAAAGATCCCGGTGAAGAAGATACCCACAATTGTAGATAAACTATTCTTACTGTTTGTTTACCCCACCATCTTTGTTCATAGGCATGCTCCTCCGCAGGGAGAGATGGAGGAGATCCTGAAACAACTTACAGAAGACAGCATCCTCTAGCAGCAGTTCTACAGACGCTTTGCTGACCACCAGGGGAGGCCCGAACAAGAAATCGCCGCACTCAATGTCACTGTCGCTCAAAATATACCACTACCTGACCCAAAAGCACACGCAAGTAGGATACTGCCAAAAATGATTGCATATGATGATGTGGAAGCATACTTACAATTGAGGTTACAGGGACCACAGAAGGCAGGGAAAAGAACTCCTGGGAGAAAGTGATGGTGATCCTGTTGACTGGCAAAAGAGGGGCATATTTGTCTCTACCCACAGCGTCAGCAGACAATTATAAAGAGGTAAAAAATTTATTTTAGCCCGTATGGGTCTCTAACCTATTTGTGCTTTGCTGATGTTCTATGAGTGGGAATATAAACCCCTTCAGCCAGCCCTGAGCTCATGCAGGAGATTTGGTGAGGATCGTGCAACATTGGCTGTTGGATGTGTCACCAACTGTGAGTCAGCTAGCAGAGTGGGTGGTGATCAACCGGTTCCCGAGGGCTCTCCCACGTAACATGTAGCAGGCAGTCAGCATGAGAAAACCAATGATGGTCTCGGACCTAGTGGATGCCATCAAGCTGGCGGATGCGACTTACCAATGTGACACAGGGGAGAGAGTGCAGCCATTTTCTCAATGGGTGGTCCAGGAACGACGCATGCCAGAGGGCCCACAGTAACCAGTAGACAGGCACCGCCATTCCCCTGTGATGAGACCATGCCCATAGATCCATAATCTCCTCCACTCAGGAAGTGGTGGTAGGTTGCATCGTTAATCGGGAGGCACCCCGAGGAGCCCCAGAGTTAAACAGAGATTTACAGCAAGAGCCACCATGCACTTCTGGTGCACGAGAGAATTCTAAGCGACTGCATAACTTCATAATTATAACTCCCAATAATGTGTGCTCATGGTGATACTCACTGTGTGTCTACTCGCAGAGTGAACATCAGGATGGAAGTTGAGTCCACCTGGTCAGTGGAGTCAGGGTTTGTGAAAGACCTACCGGTTCCATGGTGTTGGGACGTGACAGGCCGGAACTAAAAAGATTGAAAAGCGATCTTAAAATTTACTATCTTAAAAGATTTACTGTACTCCCGGCAGCCCATTGGAGAGTGATCGAAAATGTGTGGGAGAGGAGGGAAAGGATCGACCAGGTCATGCCCTTAATCCGGGAGTATCTGCTGAAGGTCCAACAGTCTCAGCAACGGCACTACAACTGGCCGGCCAACGGGAGTTCCAGCCAGAAGACAATGTGATGGTCCTGGTCTCCAATGCAGCTTGTAAGTGAAATTGCAAGGCATTCTTACATCAATCAGTAAAACGTTGGAACTGCCAACTACCAAGTAAAGCAACCAGGAAGAAGATCTTCACATTTACCACAGGAATCTCTCAAAGAGGTGGGTAGGGAACCAGAACCATATGGGCGCCCTGGCACACCAAACCCATGGTGGTGGAGACTAAACCAGAGCCTACCATTACTCAGAAGACAGAGCTGGTCAGTTCCAGTATATGTTCCTCTGGTTTTGTAATGATTGCCAGTGCCTTAATGAAGTCTCGGATTTCGACGGCTATCCCATGCTCTAGGTGTACGAGCTTCTGGAGCACCTGGGAAGGTCCCAGTACATCACCGCACTTGACCTCTCAAAAGGTTACTGGCATATCCTCCTCTATGAAACTGAAAAACCCAAGACTGCTTTCTTTTCTCACAATGGATGATGGTCTCGTCCAACTTTAGAAAAAAAAAAGGCAGCCATTCAATGAGCACACAGACCGACTACAAACCTCCAGATACAAGCTTTCTTGGGGTTGGTGGGGTATTACCATTGTTTCATCCTCAGCTTTTCCTCTGTAGTTGCTCCTTAGACAGATCTGGCCAGGAAGGTGCAACCAATATACATAGATATTGATATATATATAGCAATATCTTGCAATAAAAAAACACTTTAAATTACACTGTGCTTAGTGAGCATAAGTGACTTCTTCAACAAACTTTAACAAGATTAAATACAAATGAAGAACAAAATGACTTTGCTAAATATTTTAACTATGTGAGTATTTCTACTTTTAATTCTTTTTATAATTTAGAGTCAAGTAATAGTGCAGAGATAAATAAGAAGCTCTGTACCTTTAAATGTAGAATCTGGACATTTGAGGGTCGTGATGAAAAGCCGCAGAAGAGAAAGCAGAAGAAGGCCTTGTTCTTGCTCTGCACTCAAACCACAGCTGATTTTCTGCAGAAACTCACCCAAAGCTACACAGACTGGCAGACACTCATCTGCGGGCTGATCAGACACCTAACAAGACAAAAGTGAACATTAATATAAGACTCACACTCAGTGTGTTGTTTTAATTATGTAGCAGACATCGTAGATAATATACTAGAAGTGTATGGGTGAAAACTAGTAATCAGCAGCAGTCAAAAGTGAAAGTAGAAAGTGGAAATATTAGCAGTTTTTATTGTTCATAATTCAATATGTCTAATCAATACAAATGAGCATTTCGGTTTTCTTGCTGAAACTCAAAATAAAACAAATCAATATTTTTATTTGCAATTGTTTATTAGTCAGTTTATTGTATATTTTCATATGTGACTAAACGTATATTATCATATGCGTCATGAGCCAAACTTACACTGTATTGGTCAAAATTATCTATTCTATTTACTATACCAAAAACTATTCGAATATTAAGTCAATATCATGATCTATGGCGACATTTTGTGTCTATTCTAAATATATCAAAAACATAATTATTATTAGTAATATGAATTTCTAAGAACTTCACTAAAAGTGATTTTCTCCATACTTTAACTGTGTTACACACTTTTGTCCTTTTCTAACAAAGCACACATCAGTGGAAAGCATATTTATTCTTTTTCAAATCATATATATAAATCTGAAAAAAAAAATTTTCAAAAATTGGCTCTTATGGTTTTGTGGTCCAGTGACACACAACAACAATAATGTGTTATAAGTGATATTAAAAAATCTATTTAGCTTTTATTAAACATGTTAATGTTTGGCATGCATTCAAAGTTTTAAACACTTAGTCTTAATTCTTTTATTGCCCGCTTCAAATATTGGTCTGATGAGGCCAATACTGATAACTGCTCAAATCTATATACATTCAGCCTTTGAAGTGGTCAGTTTGAAGGCGAAGCTCCTGAAACTTATGCTATCCTAACATGTTAGCTTGTTAGCAAGATGTGTTAATTAATAAGCTAGTTAACAGGTACAATCTGGTGACTGCCTTGCCTTAAACGCCTCATGAAAATTAACAGTATTGTTCATTTGCAGGATATCTATAAGCTAGTGTGCACAAAAATAGTGGCAAAATTTGATCTAAACATATAAAGCTGGTAGTTTGTCACTTATGCCTGTAATGAATCAATGGTCATTTTATACTTCAGTTTCTTATTAAATCTTGACCAATAAAATGCTCTCTAGTCAGGGTTCTTGCACCATTTTAAAAGTAAAATGTAGTGCACTTTAAAACCTTTTTGTCAGACCACAACAAATATAAATTTAAGAACCCAAAATCTTTAGAATTTCGTTGGAGAAGGCTACACATTTTATTGCTGCCTACAATGGAAATCAAAACTTGAAAATTTTCCATTTGGTATTAATTATGTGTAATGTGTAAACTCGGTAAGTAAAAAAAAAAGTAAAAATACTTTTCTTTGGAGACCTTTTTCTTTTCTTTTTTTTTGTTCCTTTGTGATGTAGAGCAGAGCCAACATAACATGGATAAGTTGAATTACACTAAACAACAGCTTGTTGTACATTGCTGCTTAGCGCTCTACCATAATGCGCAGTGTATGAGCGACCGCCGAAATACCTTGGCGGCTAGAATGACCGTTCTTACTGAACTGGCGGCTGGCCTGACCGCAGTCAAAATTCGCTCTTTTTGACTCCTCCTTCATCTTTTGTTGGATTTTAATGTTGTAACAAATGATTTGATTACTTTCTTGCGCTAATCGAAATGCAACATATGACTGTTCATTTACCATGCAAGCCTAAGCCCGGCCTGACCCAGTCTAAAATGATAGAAATTAAGCCCAAACCAAAGTCGGGTTCGAGCAAAGATCTTCAGCTCTAGTCTGAACTAGTAACATTGTTAGCTCGAGCTGCAAACAATGCAGGGATTAACTTGGACCCGCCAGGACTAGCTGGTAAAAAGTACCGCTAGTGCTTTTCTCCTTTCATGTGTGACTCGATGGATTTGAGCCACATGGTCCCTAACGAAAAGGTATTTTTGCCTCTTGTTATTTTCAGCCGGCACCAACCACCTCCTGAATGCATCCACTCCCATCCAATTGTTATTAAATTTACACTTTCCCATCTTTGTATTTTGAACCTCACCTCAACAACCGTGTAATGACAGCACGGAGATGCAGACCGACGTCAGCGTCTGTAGCCAACCTACCGTAATAAACTGTCATTCAGAGACTGCCATTCGATGTTGCCAGATGTAGCTGACTGATTCCAGCCCAAAAACTATCCCAAACCCGCCAAAATGCAAAAAAAAACCCTGCCCAGTCATCTGTAAGAATGAAAGGTGGGGTGATGGTTTGAGACGGTTGCGAACATCACGAAAAGTTTCTGTCATTTTACACCTGCACAATCGTGTTCAAAACTGTCCAATCTGGCAACAATGCTGTAATTTTTCACCTATTTCACACATACTAAATTGATCAACTATAAGATGTTTTACGGTGGACCACTGTGTTTCCATATCGTCATTAAGCAAACAGGCTGAAAATGTAATACCTATAGCGACTTTACGGTAAATTTAAGACAATTTAAGAGCTTAATTTCCCGAATTTTAATTTAAGGGTGCTTTCACACCTGTGAATCTATTCAGTTGTTCCGAAACAGAGATTACAAATGTTACACTGTTGCTCTTTGTTCTTGGAGCGGTTCGCTTTCACACTGCAAAGTTTCTAATCGGACCAAAAGAGCTAAAACAATTCACGTGTGAGTAAACTGGCCTCACATTGGTCAGAGTGTCAGGGTTTATTTTGCAGAGTCCCGCTCAGTTGTCAGGAGAGGTGGTGGTTTGATAAAGTGCGCGCGACGTGTCTGAAGAGTGAGGAGAGATGCAATGGGGACGGGTGAGAAGGGTGCGCGACGTAGCCTATTTGAGGACCGGGAGGGAGACGTGAGATTACCGGGAGATTATCACTCATTTGCGGGCATCCGGAGACTCGCGAAACTTCCCGCCATACTCATAATTCTCTCTTCATATAGCCGTATGCCTATTACATATCCATAAAACACAGTGATATAACCAAGCTCAGATCGTATCGCTTTCTCACTGCAATCGATCCGCTCCAGGGTTCGTTTCAATCGAGACGAGACCACCTCATTCAAGCGAACTCAGAACGAGTATTTGGCGCGGATCCTAGCGCAATTGGTGGTTTCACATATGCCAAACGAACCGCGCAAACTAGGCAAACGAGACAGGTTCCGAAACAAAAGTCTAGGTGTGAAAGCACCATAAGACATTAAGACTTTTTAAGGACCCGCGGGAACTCATGTTATCCACCTTTAAGATGCTTTACATTTAATGCGCTTGAGCTCAACCACTCACACTGGCAGAGCTGTGATAAAAATAAAATGTTATTGGCTGTTTTTTAAAGAGGGGAGGAGCTGGACCCTCTCATGTTTTGATCAAATATTAAATTAAAATGCACATTTCAAAGCATTTCACTTCCTTTGCCAGTAAATGAATGTAAAAGAAATAAAATGGAGCTGAAAAACTGCCAAAGCAAAACAACAGAGGTGAAACGATGTAAAAAAAAAATATGGTTTCAAAAAAAAAAAAAACATTTTCGATAAATGGATACTAACATTTAAAGTGACATACAAAAATTCCTATTCCACAACAACAACCATTACAACTCCATGACTTTCAATGTCTGGTACACACTTTTTAACATTGCACAATATTCCAGATCCGTGAGAACTCTTTAATATATGAACAACTCAAATATCACAGGCCAAAATTTGGTTACTCTTTATTTTATGGTTTTGTAGTTACAGTGTAACAATTTATTTACCTACTGATTACTATTAATTAATCACATTTACTTACTATATGATTGGGGTTAAAATGTGGGTAATGTTTAGTGTTAGTTACATGCAATTCTGCATAATTCATTGTAGTTACTATAGTAAGTGCATGGAACATTGGTAAATAGGTAACATTAAATTAAAGTTTTATCCAAAATTATCTAAAAATTGGTACTGGCCAGTATTGTGTATTTTAAAGTTGTATGTCTTTTCATTTGCACTCTGACCTGTTCAGGCTGGATGGTGTATGCCTGCAGCAGTAAAGGCTCCAGTAGTTTATACACACTCTGTGCGGTGTGGAGGTGCTGGCTCTCCGTCATGGACTGCAGACTCTGAAGCAGAGCAGAACTAAACACCACAAACGCTGCTCTGTCCCGCACACTACTGCCCTGACGGCTCAGGATATCACACACGTTCTCCAGCTGTAAGACACATACAAAACACTGAGACTGAGCAAAGATAACGCTGACTCTAGATTTAAAAAGCATTTTTGTATAGACAGTATTATTTAGGTTTAGGGATACTGATTCAGAAGTCCTACGAATATATTGATACAGATCTAATATGAGTGCTACTGATGTTTAATGATACGTGGACACTCAGATGCATGGGCATAATATTGAACCGTTCGGTAATGGTGGGCAAAGTGAGGTTTCATAAAACACTGAAACATTCGTAGCTTCAAAACGTTTTGAAACCCGTCTCTACAGTGACACCTAGTGGCTTCAGAAAAAGAAATAGTTAAGAAAATTGAGGTATTAAAACCTACATTGTAGAACTAAGGTTTCAAGTGATTTAGGCTGCATTTACACTGCAGATCTTGATGGCCAATTCCGATTTTGTGACTGTATCTGATTTTTTGATGACCTGCTCACATCATCTATTAAAAGTGACTCGTATCTGATTGTCTGCATTTACACAGCACATGGCAAAGGTGCATTGACCAGGGGAAAAAAAAGAGTGGGCGCTGACTAACAGCTGACAATTAAAGAGTTCCCTTTTCTCCTTTAATCTGTTTTCTGGATTTCATTTTCTTTTAATTCTTTTTGACAAGCTGTTTTACTATAGTTTATGACAGAAAAGTTCTCATTTGGCCATTTTCTTTTAATCTAGGCCTTTTAGGCGTCTTAATGTCAAGTCCATGGCGTGATTTATGTATGTGATGTATGCAACAGGTTTATGTTCTGTTCGGTGGTGGATATTGCACGCTTTTTCTCGCTCTCGTTAACATGCTCAAATAATTGTACTACATGACAATATAAAAGCGAATTTAGACCTCGTGTATGAGATTTAAGATTTGCGACTCTGCTGAAGTCTCAGCATCAGACTTAATGTCATTGGCTATGGTTTTTAATGACGCGTGACTCGCATTGACAGGTCCGATCTACCTGCTTACACTGCAGACATGAGGGCACGGATCTGATTTTTTCCGATTGAGTAAATCGGAATCTATATGATTTTGTCCTGTTTAAGCGTACATAGGCCATATTCCGATCTGTGCCACATTAGAGGGGAAAAAAAATCTGAATTGTCACTTGAACCATGCAGTGTAAATGCAGCCTTAGTGAAACGGTGAGAGTTCCAGACTATCATGCAGAGATAAAGGGTTCGAACCCAGGGTGATGCAGCTATGGATGCTTTTAAATGCTCTGTTGAACGTGTTTAGTTTTAACATTGACATCTGAATAAACACTTTGTGAATTTTTATGTCTTGTTTTGGTCATGAAAAGTAGCATTATTAAATGACATCAAGTCATAATTTAAGAGTTTTTATTTGTACAAGTCGGGATTCGAACTCGGACCACTTGCAGCACAATAACTCCGGGCACACCACTAGGCAACATGGGATAGAGGTTTTCTCCGAGTATGTCAGTCAAACTCAGATTCACCTGGTTTCAAAACGCTTCTGAAATGACCGATCCAAATTGCTTTAGTATTGTGACATGGTGTGTTGAAACACTTGCTCTTCAGGATCTCAACACTTTGTCAAAACGTCAGTTTCACGTCAGCTATCCCTACCATTCGGTACAACCTCCACAGTTCAATAAGCATTAGGATACTGGCTGCGTCCGAAAACACCTACTACTCAGTAGATACTGCATTTGAATGTAAACGTACTACTCGGCGTTAGAAAAGTATGTTCTATACAGTATGAATGTGAAAAGTATGAATGGAATTCAGACGTACTACATCCGCCGTTTTGTCATGGTCACGTGACCGACCTGCGTCAGTTGCATCGCTTTACTCCCATTCATGAATTCTCTTGCGGGGCATCATGGGATTACGCAGCGTGCAGGAGATACACACTTCAGAATCTCGCCGGAAAGTCATCCGGGTACTTCTCGCATACTGTTTATCGAGCTCTATGAATTCAGACACACTACTCGGCTCGCATACTGATTTTAGCGTAATGTATAGTATGGAAGTATGCGGTTTCGGACGCAGCCACTGTGTTTTTTTTGGTTCCCCAAATGGTGTGACGTAACATGAAAACTATCAATTAACAATACTGGCAACAGTCAATGGACAAAAGAAACAATCTAAAGAAAATCTAAAGAAACGAGGCTGATATAACAAGGGGAAAAGAAAGAATTAAAATGACAAGAGAGACCTTCTTTTTGAGCTTGAACCAGAGAATTTTACACTTACAGTGTTGCGTTTGGTTGCGTGATCCATGTTAGCCAAGTTCTTGATCAGAGTTGTTGTGAGCATTTCGTTCGCCACACCAAGCAGATCCGACTCAGAGGTTTTAGCCAGAACAGCCTTCAGCACTATGAATAAAGAAACTCGTGTTTAGACAATAAAGATTTCATTCAAATTTACCTACTTGCTCTTCTTCTTAAACAATGTTCTGTTCTTAATTTAGTTGGGGTGTCAAAATTCATTGTTTCTTCGGTGCACCGCAATGCAAACGCAGACAATTCGGTATCGGTTCAGTAATAATTATAATCGGTTATTGTGTATGGACGACATTTATCTCATATGCGCTTTGTCGGCGTAGCTTACTATGGCGAGGAAGGCAAGCATGAGTGTTCACAACGCTCCAACTACTTAAAAACGCAGAATCTGTGCACAATTTCACTGTGTGTGTTTGCTGGATCAGTCTTTCACTGACACTTACAGCAGAAGTCCCTATTTCACTGCGATTGAGAGAATGAAAGTACTCCATTTCTTTCTTTCTTTCTCTCTCTCTCTCTCTCTCTATCTCTCTCTCTCTCTCTCTCTCTGGGTGTAAATCAGTGTATCTGTCATGCTGACTCTGAAAATGTTCTAAATATTTATTTGTAAGTATCAGCAAAAAAAGAAAAAAAAAAGTTTTTTAGTTTTTTTTAAGATGTCATGTACATTTTAATTAGTTAAATTGTTTTTAGCAAAAATATTTTTTGTAATAAAGAGACCTTAAAAGTCAAAAGTCTCTTTCTCTCTCTCTCACTCTCACTCACTGTGGGCCCATTTGACCTGCTGGCGTGACTTTTCCTTTTCTCTTGGCTGTTTTACAGTGATACTGCTGGATACAGACACGAGCGCGTGCCTGCAGGGTTTTCTCCACTGTCTTTATCATGGATCAGCTGTGAGATCGCCGCTGCCGCCTGCCGCTTTTCATGATCACTCATCTGTGAAAAGCGCAGCACGCAAGAGCCAATCGCAGCCGTTTTAGTTGAGGGTGTGACCAATCAAAGGGGTGTAAGAGAATTTGGTAGACAAGGATCAGAAAGCGAGCGAGATATTTATATTTGTTTATATTAATCGCTATAAATGCTCGTGTTGTATATCTGACTTTTTGTATTAAATGACAAAATTTCATTCAGATAGTATATAAATATATTCATACATTTTAATACAGGAATTCTGCTGTAAAATATATATATATATATATATATATACATATATATATATATATATATATAACTGTGTATGGAAAGCATCGCCAATGCACGGTGATACACCGAGATATCGAATTGAACCTAATCGATGGCATGATAATCGTAACCGAACCGAACCGTGAGACCAGTGTAGGTTCACAGCTCCATAATTTAGCATTAACATGAAAAATACATTTGATGGCGAAGCGCAAGAACTATTTAAAGTAGCATATTCACAAGTGTGCTGCGCCAGCTTTTCTAAATAAACAACCATATTTAGCTATGATTTATGTCTGCATTGCATGTATATATTGTTGTAGCCTATTTATTTATTTGTTTGTTTATTTAAAAAAAGATTGTTATTGCCTGTACTGTAAGAAGGTCTATGTATTGCACATTGTTCATAACTGTTCTTCAGTTTTTAAATAATAACAATAAGACAAAGCAAAAAGCAAGAAAATCCTTTTTGCATTGTGATTATTGAATTCCTGCTTCTGAATACTGTTAGACTACCCAGAAAAGTGTCAAATAGAGCTATTCAAACCTTCTGCTAAACAAACTGCTTTCATATCGCAATATTTCTCGAAGAGTCATAAAATATTGCAATATCAGAGTTTTTCCAATATCCTGCAGCCCTACTTTTATAGTGAGTCTATATCGTCTGATTCAAATATTGACCTAATTAGCACAATATCAATATCTGTTCTAATCTATTGAAAACATCAATTTGGTGTTCCCCACTTTAGTTCATTAGGCCAATTGTTTGATCATTTGTGAGGTTGGATAGTGTCGATTTTACTGTGAACAGCAGGAGTGTTTACCTTTGGCCCAGCCCTGGGTCAGAGGATGCTGGGAGATCAGAGTGGTTTCAGTAATGGCAGACGTCATCTGCAGCTCCACACATTCAGGTGCAGCTCTCGTCATCACCAGGAAGGGTAAAAGCTCCCAACTAATGTAAGCCTTAAGATCTGGGTTACCCTCAATAATGCGTGGGTCATCAAGAACGCGCACAGCCTCTTTTAGCACTGGACACCTGCAGAAAATAAGCCCAGACGAAGCCTGATTAAAGCCAATCTAGAGCATCTTTCTAAGTAAGGGAAAAATTATATTTTTAGTGATGTAAAGATTTGATCAAATGATTAACAAAAGTGATGTACTGATAAAACTCGACAAAAATAATGTGCATTATGTTTGTATGCATTTTGGACATTCCCACACCCCTCCACCTTTCAGAATAAATAGACATTTGTAGAAATCAATCAAACAAACAAAAGAAGTATCCAGACATTTTTTTAAATGAATATCTGATAGACTGCTTCTCAACCACGTTCCTGGAGGACCACCAGTTTTACACATTTTTTCTGGTTCTCTAACCAAACACGACTGATTCAGATAATCAGCTCATTAGCAGAGACTGAAAGGCCTGTAATGGGTTTGACAAAGGAAACATCCAAGACGTGCAGTGTTGGTGTTCCTACAGGAATGTGGTTGAGAAAAACTGGATATAATATTTGCACATCTTTACTAGTACTTTTTATTTTTACAGATTGGTCAAGTACAACATTTTAAGGTATGTTATTTTAGGGAGAAAGTATATCCAGGTGGTTGTTACCAAAGAATAAAGGCCAAAAGGTTTAATGGTAGCCTAATATAAAACTGAAGGGGGTTTATACTGCAAAAAATATCAACCTGGATGTACTTTCTCCAGCTTATTACACGGCTTCTTGCAACAAAATTGACAAAACATTGTTCTGAGATCTACAGTAATAGTTTATTATTTTTAAATTAAAGGTTAAGCTGACAAAAACGAAAACGGCTGAATGGAGCATAGCCTAACCTAGGCATTCAGTCACAAGCACATACATCACAGACAAGCATATATATATATATATATATATATATATATATATATATATATATATATATATATATATATGGGCATCACAGGGATTTCCAGTCAATTGATTAATTTGGAAAACCTGAATTTGAGGATTATATAAAATCAGTCAACCAACCAATCGGCTGATGGTTTGATGCGATGAAGAAGTGAAATCAAACTGGAAACGGTGTCCTCTACATCCATTAGGCCCATGTGATGCTATCAGAGAACCAAAAACAGACATTTAACATTTGAATTGAAAAAAGTAACTCATCAAAATGCATAACATTCATGATATCGTCATCTCACCTGCAAGGCTTTAAGCGCAGACAGCACAACTTCTGGAGAATCGTCTTTTATTCTTTCCAGCAAAGCATCTTTGAGAAACGCCTCATCAAAGCTATTCTGCTTCATAACACATATCACAACACACACAGACAGACAAACAGCATCTCATTACCTCAATGAATCTGGTTTCTTGGATGTTCCATCAAATTAGATGGAACACAAGATCATGTTTTTGGGCATTTGAGGATACTACATCAAAAAAAGTTGATTCCAACAAAAAGACATGCATGTAAACTATGATAAAACCCATTTAATAATTTCCTTGATGTGCATCAAAAATTGTGATTTAGCCTTAACAGACGATCACAAGACAACATAACAGAGTTTGCCAAGTTTTGAAAATCTAAAATAACAATTCCAGTGACTTGCGACCCCCACTAATCTCAGAGGTGGTTGTAAACAAACACACAAACAAACATTGCAAACAACAGCTCACACACACCAATAAGAACTATGAAAACACAAGCATATTGATTACACACACAAAAAAGTGTCTACTGATTGTCAGATATTCATTTCGAATTGTGGTTCAACGTAAGCATTATAACCAGAATGAAACTGACCTGGACAAATCTGAAGGGTACCAATATAATTTGTACACGACCATATCATCTTTTATAGTCATTATTCATTCAATTTAATATTAACCTCACATAATAGGGCAGTTGGACACAAAGTTTAGAGCACAACATTATTCTTCGCTTAATTATGGAGACCTCGACTTGGAGATCATCCTCCATGTTCGGTCGTGGCCTTTATTTTTAAAGTATGAGTGTCGCAAAGGTGTCAAAGTTAAACATTGCATCATAAAATAAATCTGCTGCAACTAATCCTATTGCTGTACAGTGTTTCCTCTAGGATTTTTTCCAGCTGTGGTGGCAGGCCTGTTTTACACAGATCTACCAATTACCTGTGGCGTTATTTCAATGACAAATGTCGTGAGCGCAGTGTTACAAGTCGATATCGCATTTATGTCATAGCCTAAAGCATGCTGATCTCTTTGCTTGCGTGCCGATTTCCAAAACTTCTTGCACACCCCCTCAACCGCAGATCTTCTTGTGCGCTCTCAAATAAACGCTGCTGAAGTGCGATTTAGTGCGCTTATGTAAAGAGTATGTCTCCAACATTTTTAAGATTTGCTAGGAATATTTAAGAATGTCTCCAATAAATCTACAGAGCGGTATTAATGTGTCCTGAAGTAAAGTGAAACGGCTATACGTGGTGTTTGCTGGCCTCACGCATCAGTCAGTCAGTCTGTCAGCATGTAATCATAAAGAGTTAAACAAATAAGGCACAGCACTACTACGATCAGTTTCAGAAAAGTTTGCGCTGTTATAATTTTTCTTACATTTTAATACTTTTTGGTGCGATTATCACTCGCTATTAGGAAAAAAAAACATGACTGAATGTCTGAATGAGAAGTTGTAATGTAGCCGTGGCGGGATCAATTTTGCCGTGGTGCACCGCAATGGAAGAATGAATGTAGCAGAAACCTTGCTGTATTGTAAATAATAACCCAAGGAGTCGCAATCCAATGGAAAAAAAAAATTGAGAGGCTGATGGTTTTTTATTTGCATGTTTTTTTTAATGTAACTATTAAATACTATTTTTATCTTCTGTAGGCTGTGAATAAAATATGGTAGTTCTAATAGTTTATTAACATATATCATATTTTTGGAAATCCCCAAGACCCCCACCCTATTGTCCTGCAACCCCTACTCTGGGAACCACTGCTAAAGAACATATAGGATTTTTATTTATTATTATTTTTTTTTTACAATTTACAAATATTTAGTGCAATACTTAACTTTATATTTAATATTGCCCTTAAAGTAACTTTGTAGCTTTAGATGGAAACATAACAAACATTATGTTACAAACAAGCTCACATTATTCTCACATTTAAAGGGAGTATAAAAGATACACACATGTTCTGAGTTGAGGATCTCTTTCAGGTAGTCTACGGCCATGTTTCTCACAGAGGGAAGAGGGTGATTGAGGCTGAGCATCAGAGAGGTCTCGGACTCCGGCAGAATCTGCATTCATACAACAATCAGGTCTTGTTTTTATAAAAGGGCATTTAAATGACTAAAACCATGTCATTTTAAAACAGAAATAACATATTCCTTATGCCTTCCTGTTATTGAGTACCGTACTCGCTCTCACTTCAATCATTCTATTTCATTCATATTCAGATCACAAATCAAGATTTTTTGATGAAATCTGAGAGCTTCTTCATCCTCCATACACAGCAATAGTCCCGAGATGTTTAAAGTCCAGAAAAGGGACCAAAAACATGACTTGAGTGGTTTAACTAGTGCAGCAAAAAAAATAAATAAATAAATACATTTAAAACCATAAAATAAAAATATTAAAAATAAAATGTAAAAACAGCTTTGTTTGCCAATGTCCTATGTCAGGCCACTGTGTGCATTTACAACAGGCTGTACGAAGGTTAATTTATACTTGATGCATCTGTATTCTGTAAGGTCATGCAGCGAATGTAATGTCATGGTAGTGTAGGTGGAAGTTCGCTTTAGGCGGTTAGACATCATTTTAACTGGTGGTGTGCATAAAATGTTTTGCAACTTTGCACAGCTCTGCATCCAACAATGCACAACTTTTTGACAACACCTATAGCAATCCAAAACAAATTCATACTGTGATGTGCGTTGACATACACCACAAAAATGATAAACGAGTGAAAGTGAGTCCAGCTACTTTACATTATAAGACATAACAGTTCACATTAAGTACACAGTTAGCTTGGATATATAAAATATAGCCTAAATTGCTGAATTACACAATTGTACTAAAAGCAAACATCATCATGAGTGTCCTTCACATTTATCCACATCCTATTCACATTCGATATATAATTAAATTCACTCTATCAGCATCTTCACTTGCAGACTGTGTGTGCAGTCAGCAGAGGATCTTGCTGCGGAGGCAGACTAAAGTATGATTCAGGCTTAGCGTATTGCCTTTAGGGTCAGCAGTGCATCGCAAAATCCCATTGCCTGTAATAAACACACCTACAGATTTGATGCGAAAGACAGGCAAACAAAATCAATTTTACAGCTTTTTTTGCTGCACAAAAGCATTTTTGGAGCTTTTTGTGTTTACAGTTGAACTACTGAAGTCACATGTAACATAGACAGTTTTTGATTCCTTTTCTAAACTGTTTTTGGTGAATGAGAGAGCTCCAGGATTGCATCTAAAATATATAAATTTGTTGAAAAATTAACCAAATTTGTGTGTCAACAAACTCTTTAATTATATTCTGCATAATTTCTAAAAGTGAGCATCAAACTTGATAATTGTTATGCCTTTTTTTTTTGCATTTAAAAGGCTTAACTGTACAAAACAATTTATTATTATGCTGTGTTGACACCAGACGCGGAACGGCCGGATAAATCGCGCTATTCACACATAAATAGACGTGTGGATATTTTGAGTTTATTTGCTTCTTTCGCGCGTCAAATTCACTGAGCAATTCACATCATGGGCAGGGCTTCTATCTGCCCATTGAATATAGCTTCATTGCTAAATGGCTAACATGGATTTCATTGAGAAAATGACTGTTTATGTGCTTTATGAAGGCTAAAAAACTGCGTTGATTCATTTGGAGCACTTTCCAAGTCCACTAGATCCTTTCAGAGGTGCATCCAGCTCTATGAGTTCATCAACTCCTCCGGAAACTTAACCTGGATGATGGAAGCTTTCAGCGGTGAGCCGAGCCCAGTTTGATCAATGTTTGCCTGGTGTCAGCTGGACTATTTTCCCTTGGGACACCAACAACAGGCGCTGTCATAAGCATGTCCCCACAAGAGCAAGCTCCTGATTGGTTAACGTCGGGTGCATGTCCGCTGAAGTTCAGATTTTTGAACTTAAGCGATTCGTGCGAAACGCGTGTCAATCGCACAAAACGCTCAACTCGCACTGCTTCATTTGCGCGAATCACATCTTTCAGGCTGCCTCATTCGCGCGTATCGCACCACAGAATGTTTATTCGCATCTTTGCATTGACTTAACATGTAAATCACTCAAGCTTGACGCTTCTTCTACAACTGGTATGAACGCAGCATCATTAAAACAAGATCAGCAATACCTGATATTTCCCACAGCTCAGAGTGAGAGAGATGAACTGATGAAGCAGGTTTTTTTCATTATCGGATGACACATTTTTGACATGATTTTCCAATGCCATATCCAGTGCACATGGATACCTATTAGTAAAGAACACACAAAGGTAAACACCAGAAACAAAACACTGCCCATGACTTGACTGTACTACAGCACAACAAGCGCAAAACTGAACAGACCTGGATTCAAACAGTCGTACTGTAGGCTGAATTCTCTGATTAAGAGCTGAAATCCCATCTGAGGGAAGCTCATTGCCGCAGACAACATACTCTTCAAGCAGCAGCCTGTACAAATCAATGCATGTGAATGAGTCAAGATCCAGAGAATTAACAGATCATAATAAATGGGTAATGTTCTGGTTCACCCAAAAATGAAATTATCCTCATCAATCACACACTCAAGTGGTTCTAAACTTTTATTAATTTATTTCTTCTGTTGAAAACGAAACAAGATATTCTAAACAATATTGGGAAAAGCACCCATTGACATCCATAGTAGAAACCTAAAACACTATAGAAGTTATTGTTTTTTTCCCAACATCCCTCAGTATATCTTCCTTTGTTAAACAGACGAAAGAAACCCAAACAGGTGTGGAATAAGTGAAGGATGAGTAAACGATGGGTGAACGATCCCTTTAAACAAAGTTTCATTCATAACTGAAGCTAAATTAAACATGCTTACTTAGCTGCAGTGTTCTCCAGGTTGCTGGAAAGTTGAAGGTTTTGAAATACTGACTGCAATAGTCCAGTACTGTCTGACAAACCTTCATTCTGTTGCTCATCTACATGGAAATAAGACATAAAGAAATTAACAATAGGATAATAGCAATTTTGCTATGATCGGCACTGATGGTACAGCTGTTAGAAGAGTTCCTTGATACTACAATTCATTCTTTAATATACTTACATTCTATGTTTAGAGAAATTCAAACACATCAGCAATATCTGGCTAAAATCAATTAATAGTACGGTTGCATAAGTTTCTGAATCAAGATTCTAAACCATTTTTAAAGCAAACTCATTAAGCTTTATAGACATGTACAATCGTTGTATGAATGTACAATCTTTATAATAGCAAAATGCCATTTTTATTTGATCATTTTAATGAACCACTCCACTTTATTGGAAATAATTTTTCTAAGTTAAACAGTTGAGTTTTACCATTTTTTAATCCATTCAGCCGATCACCTGGCGGGGATACTTTTAACTTAGCTTCTTATAGACCATTAGCATATTCAATTACTATACATTACATTATATATTAAATGTTATATATTACATGATAATTAAAAGGGGTGTCAAAATTACTGTTTTTTCTGTGCACTACAATGCAGACGTGGATAATTCAGTATCAGTTCAGTTATAATCATAACCGATTAATGTGTACTGACGTAATTTATCTATGTGCTATGTCCCGATGGCTTACTATGGTGAGGAAGGCGAGTGCGACCGTTCAAAACGCTCCAACTACTTAAAAACGCAGAAACTGTGTGCAAGTGTTTTCTGGTCTGGTCTTTCACTGACACTTACAACAGAACTAATTCACTGTTATGAATTAACTGAAAGTACTATTACTAGGTACCAATTTCTCTCGCTGTGGACTTCTGACCTGCTGTCGTGAGGTAAAGTTTCCTCTCCTCTCAGCTGTTACAGCAATATGTCTGGATACAGAGAGGAGTGTGTGTCTGCAGAGCTAGTTTTCTCCTCCACGTCTATCATGGATCAGCTGTGATTGCCACTGCCATTTATCAGTGTGCCGTTTTCTGTTGACCAGTTATAGGGGAAAGAACTCGCTAGACAGGGCTCAGCGGGGTAATTATATTTGTTTATTCGCTTTAAATGTTCATGTTGTTCTGTGCATGTACTTGAGTTTTAAAGTTACAGTTCATATATCTGACTGTTTGTATTAAAGTACAAAATTGTATTACAAATAGCATATAAATATAAATATGTTTATAAATTTAATACAATAATTGCTGTGCTGTGAAGAAAATATAAAACTGTGCATAGAAAGCATCATCAATGCACCGTGATGCACCGAGGTATCGAATTGAACCATATCGATGGCATGATAACTTTAACCGAACCAACTGTAAGACCAGTGTAGGTTCACACCTCTACTAACTATTATACACAATTTTCCAAATGTAAGGATTACTCTTCTGTGATTAAATCATGTTCCTAGACCAATGAAAACTGAAAAGTTGTTATTTTCTAGGCCGATAGGGCTAGGACCTCTGCTCTCATTCCAGCATAATAATCAAGAAACTTTGCTGCCGTACCATGAATGCAGCAAAGGCACTGATATTTCACAGCACCTGAAAATAGTCCCCAGTTAGCTAACTAAATTACAGCACTGTGATGATTGCGGCTATGCTATGCTAATGGTCTAATGCGATTCAATGATTTGTGCTAAGCTAAGCAAAAAGTGAGATTGGCTGAATGGATTTAAAAACGATAAAACTGTAAAGTTCCTATAGGATCAAATGAGGCACACATAGAAACCAACCATTCTGGGTCATCACAGAGTGTATGAGATGAGGCAGCAGGTAACTCAGTAGAGGACTGATGTCATGCACAGTTGATATGCTCTGAAGGGTAGACACCAGGGTAGGGACAGCACACAGGTAACCATATGTCCTAATGAGGTATAAAAACAAATTAATGGAATATTTATATGCATGAGAAAAGTCTTTGGTCAACACTAACTGATAGTGGTATAACGAATCACAAATCTGGTTCGGATCACACTATGGTTTTTAAGTCAAGGATCGGACCATTTTTTGGATCAGCAAAAAAGGGAGGAGTCAAATGTAATTTGCTTTTCATTTATGCTAAAATATAACAGCAAAAACCATTGGTTTTAACAAATATAACTTTGAAGCTGTAATCTTATTAAAAATCAAGAAAAAAAAAACTGCTGAAAAAAGAAAATTTTCAATTCGAAAAATGTTCTTTGCTATTGTTGTTGATAATGCCAAATATAGAAATCAAAAATTTTGTACAACACATCATAATTTTTTTAATTATTTTTCAACAACATAAAACTTCATTATAGGTGGATCATTTTTGAAAACCTATTCAGTGACATAATTTTGATGGTTGTTTGCCGCCCCCTGGGGGTAAACAATGTAATTGCTAACACATTCTACAGCATCAAGTTCCATTAAACTGTGATTTTAATCTTTACCATAAACATCAGTGTTTATATCTGAACTATAAACTGTTCTCCCAGAACTTCTGTGTTATTTAATTGTTTGTAACGAACTGAAAAGTGTAAAAACTGAATCTCGATCAAATTAATAAACATATGTAAATCATTACCTTTTATCATTCATGTTGCGTGGATTTAAAGTGAGTTCAATCTTTTAATGTTTAATTGTGCAGCTTTACACTGAATGCATTTACGCAGGCTAAACAAACAGAATCAGAAAACACCTTTAATAATTAACTTAAGAAAGCATTTAGGTAGATCCCACCACACCTTTTTTCATCATCATTATATTCTACAGGGAAGCCTAAATGCTTTCATACACGTGATTTGAATGATGGGGTAGGCGATCTCTCTGCAATTGTTGTAAATGGTGGATTAACCTACAAATTAAAAACGTTATTAACCTGCGGGTCAGGTGCGTTCCAAACTGTGATCCGTTACACCCCTACTAACTGAAGACATAGAGAAGTAGACACAAAAAAATTGTACTTTTGACCAATCACTCCTTTTTTCTGGTTTTGGAGCAGGATGATAATGCAGCTCAAGCCTTCTCTGATGAGCTGTGGTGTTCGGCCTAGAGACCTGCTCAATTGAACGCTCAGAGAGTCCACCAGCTGGGCCTCCATTACCACCTTCACTGCCATCTGACACACGATCATGTAAGTGGCAGCCGTGTAGTCCGAAAGATTAGATTTCAGCCCCTAGTTATGAAGGAAAAAAAAAAAAAGAGACCTTTAAAGTATTTGAAGAAACTTTTAAAGTATCTAGAAACCGAAAATTATTTGGATTCAGAAACATTTTTCTTTTGTTAAATGGCATTATGTATACATTGTAAATATATTGCCAGTCATTTCACCACACCAGTCCCTGACTTCATTTACATTTAATTTTTACACTTGCATTATAAACTGGAATTTGTATGATTTGAGATCTGTATCAAGGCATGAAAATTCTACAACCTAATTGTCTGATTTGATTTAAAATAAGAATTTGATTTCCAAATTTCCAATTTTCACTCACAAAATATGCCTATTTTAAACGAAATTTACTCTGCCACTGTGTTTTCAGAAGCAATGGGAATTTATTGCATATAAACAACTTTAAACATTTGTGCTGGGAAAAGATTAATCGTAATTAATCACATCCAAAATAAAAGTTTGTTTTGACATAATGTGTGTGAATTATATAGAAATATATGTATTATATGTGTGTGTGTGTGTGTGTGTGTGTGTGTGTGTGTGTGTGTGTGTGTGTGTGTGTGTGATAGAAACAAAAGTATACAAAAATATATTGTTACTTAGATATTATATAATATAAAACTTGTTTCTTATACATCTTTTATATCCAATTATAAATTAACATCTCAATTATATGCATGCATGTGAAAATTCATATATACAAAATAAATATTCACAGCACACACAGATACATTATATAAAGAAAAATTTTACATTTTCTTTATTTTGGATGCGACCAACCACGATTAATTTTTATTTTTACCCAGCACTGGAAAAAAATAAGTTCTAAAAGTTCCAGATTTAACATTAAAATGTTTACACAACCGCAACTGTGTCATTAGCACAGCAAAGGCTTTATCCTTAGACATTAATTCTGAAATGTAATCCCCCTGATCCAACCTACTTTATTTTCCTCATTATTCTAAAATACATCGTGAAGTTAACGCATTCAGGGATATCCACGGCAGTAAATTTTCTGGATTTATCTGAAACAAAACTATATTTTTACATTGTATGTATTCACACGCATAAATTTAAAGAGATAGTTCAATCAAAATCTTCTATTTTTTTGTTACTCAGTTTGTTCCAATCCTGCTTTCATTTCTTTGTTCTGATGAACACAAGTTAAGTTCATTTGGATAAAAAAGTATTTTATATTGTATTATTTATATTATATTTATATTATATTGTAATATATAAAGTATTTAAACCAGTCTTGCCACTGACATTCTCTATTATATTTTGTCATTTAGCCGATGCTTTTGCCCAAAGTGACTTACAATTGAGGAGGTATTCAGTGATTCAACAAGAAGAGGCAATACACACAAGTATATAAAGAACTTATTAAGGCTCAAAGAATAAAGTGCTAAAGTAGGGAGGGGGGAGTTTTTCTATACAGAGAAGTTGTCAAATTGTTTGTCAAGACCACCAGTGTAATGCACAATTCATAAATGCTGTACGATCACACCAGTTTGAAAGCCTAGTCCCTGAAGCGTACGATCACACCGGTGTGATTAGAACAATCAGACCAAACTTTATCAACTGCTAAAATTCAAATCTGATTGTGCTCGCTGAGGGACAGAGAGAGGTGCGCAGTGCAAGTCATGAATCCCATATTGTCCGTGCTTTCTAACAAAACATTTTTTTAGGTTTCAGACATTTAAATACACATAACTACAAGCGAAACATACCATTTAAGGTTTGTAAAACACACGCAGATGTCTTCAGAGACAGTAATAATAATAATTATTTTTCAATATAACTGCACAATGTGCTTTATCCACATGAGATACACACTGTTTATGTTATTAGAATAATTTCTCTATTCCTCCCCCAGATAAGCAGTTGCTTACCTTTACGTATTTCGAAAGAAAATTATAAATAAACATGAAGTAAATCCAGCATCCTGCAGGATCTCTCCTGCGGTTTTTGCTAGAAAGGATACAGCTCCCATCGGAAGTTGAGGAGTAGTATTTATATTATTTTTTAAATTACACATTTATTTATTAGCGTTAACCAGTACCTCAACCCTAAACCCAACCGTCACAGTAATGTAAAAATATTATTTGTTGTCAGTGGTGGGAGCAGTACTGAAAAATCTAACTCAAGTAAAAGTATCATCACTTGCCCAAAAATGTAGTGCAAATAGGGTAAAAGTATCTGTTGTAAATATGACTCAAAGTATGAGTAAAACGTAGCCCTTTTTAAAGTAGTCAAGAGTAGTGAATACAGTGAAACATTTCAGCCATTTGTAGCCCTCAGTGCAATATTTTGTGGCCCGCGCCAACCGCTGTACACTGACAGAATCAGCGGAGCGGGGAGAGAGAGCGCTCCCCGCTCCGCTGATTCTATCCGTACACAGCGGTCACTGTCATTCCCCGCCCGCCGTGCAAACAAAGGGTCGGGGATGCCGGTGACGTCACCACGCACCCCACCCCTTTGTTAGACGCTGTGACGGGCGAGAAGTCTTAGGAGGGAACTCACGCCGGCCAGAACCAAGGTAAGCTGTTCCCGCCCCTGCCTGCCACTTAGCTACCTATCTGCAGCCTGCCACCTACCTAGCTACAGCCTGCATCTTATATATATTATAGGTAGATACAGACTGATGTGACTGGAGTGGGGTGGGGGTGTTTTATTTATACAGATATACGCCTTTTTTTAGGTGAGGGAATGGAAGTTTTGAGTGAGTTCCCCCACTTTTTTCCCTAGGACTTCAATAAGTCAAAGTACAGGTCTAGACTTAATGATGATCATCTTCAAGCCATACTGAGGGTCTCAACTGCTTCCGCTCTAAAGCCAAATGTGGTTCAGATTAGTGAGAAGAAGCGCTGTCAAGTCTCTGGCCGCAAGAAGTAGGCAAAACATGCCATTTTCAGAAGAACTGTTCATAATCTTCACTCAATGTTCTCTTTATGTTCATGACACTTCATGTTCAGAAGAAATAATTAAAACTGTTAATAATGACATTTGAGGACTTTTTTTTTGTGAAATCCCTTATGCGGCCCAGCCTCACCCAGACTTTGCCTCCTGCGGCCCCCAGGTAAATTGAGTTTGAGACCCCTGCAGTAGTGCATTCAATTATCTTCCTATGTTAGTGCTTTCACTCCTGCGTTTGTTCGTTCTATTCTTCCTTTATGCATTCAGTTGTTCGTTTTTCCTTCATTTCTTCCTTCATTCATTCGTTCATTCTTTTGTTCTATCCTTCATTAGGTCCTTTGTTCATTAATTAGTTCGTTCCTTCTTTCGTTTGTTTAGTGTTTCCTTGAATCCTTCCTTCATTTATTTGGTCCTTTCTTCATTAGTTTGGTTCTTTCTTCCATTCCTTGTTCGCCCCTTCCTTCATTCAGCCCTTTTTTTTCATTCTTCTTTCGTTCCATATAGTGAGTAAGGCTGTTTGGTGATTTCAGTTATGATACAGTCGACCTCCTTCATCTTCTCATCAGTGACAGGCAGTCTATAAACAGTCTCTGGGTCATTGCGTGTAAAGATTTTGGACATCTTCTTTGACATTTTTAATTCTTTCAAAAGGCTTGGTGCATTTATAAAGCGTCCATGTCTTGAGGTTGTTCAGTATGATGCGAATTACTTTCTATGTGCGATTGATTGGACAGGAATTGAAGCACTGATTTTTCTACTTTAGCCAATCACCATAGACAAGAAAGAAATAAAGTAGTGACTGGAGATAGAAGGAAAATGGTGAAATAAAAATACAGATATATCGCTAAAAATGTACTCAATGTAAAGTAAAAGTACACAATTTTAAAACTACTTAGTAAATTACAATTTTTTGAAAAAAAAAAAAAATACTCAATTATACTCAGTAATTTGAGTATTTGTGATTTGTTACTTTACACCACTGTTTGTTGTACTATGTCACAAAAATTATGCTATACTGACACGAATATCCTCAGCTGTATCCCATCTAGACTTCACCCTCTCCTGCAGCGCAGCAAAGTCTAGAAGGGATAGAGCTGAGGATACTCACATCAATAAATTAATGATGCTAATAAATTAATGTGTAATTTAATAAATAATATAAATACTTCTTGGTAACTTCCGATCGCAGCTGTATCCTTTCTAGCAATAACGGTGGCACCCATGTACCAAATAATATGATCAATATTATTATTCTGTTTAAAAGACAAAATATAAGTTATATCACATATTTAAAAATCGGACTATCAAAAATTTCATAATATAATTAGAACATTTGTCAAAATTTACAAAAAAAAGAGCAAAAAGAAATAAAAGATGATATATACATAGATCATTGGGGCTCGTGGGTCACATGATCAACTTGACCCTGGGATCTTAGTTGTGGAGCTAAGTAATGGTCAAAAAAAACAAAAAACTCATGTGTGAAAGGGTTAAATTTGGGGTAAACCATCCCTTTAACCACATCTGTAATATGTTATGAAATGTTCTTACCAGTTGTACAAAGGGAAGCAGTTTGGCAATAATAGAGTTAGTGATCTTCTCCACTGCATCAAGTGCTGAAACAATAGTCGATGCATAGAAAGAGAAAATCACACGCAGCTGCGGACAGTTCCCATCCCGGGTCAGTTCAGAGTACGCCTACAACAGAATTAAATATATATGTAACCACTGCAATACTAGACAGTATGGCAGTATGACTTCAACCAATGCAGATCTTACCTTTACTGAATTTGTGACCATAGAGCAAACGAAATCCATGAAGCCTAAATCCTTATAGCAGTGTGTGAGCAGGGTTCCTCGGGCCAGGGGAACACCAGGTTTCTACAGATTAAGCACAGGGCACAATTTTATTAAAGTTACAAAACTCTTACTTTCTTTACTACGACACGCATTTGGACTGATATGATATGGTTTACCTGGATTCCATGGAGCCAGTGCCATTTGTGGGTTGGATCTTCAATCTTGAACAGCTGGATCACTCGTACAAACACTTTAGTCTCATGATACGGTAAAACACAAGCAATCAGACTGTCCTGGTTGTACAGATGAATGTGAAATCTGAAATACAGTTCATATTGAATCGATGACAATTTCTTCCATGCTATGAAATGTTACAAGTAACACTTACATGATGTACACAGGAATCAGAGTGAAGTATTTAATGACTTTTAAGACCTATATTAAGACTCTTTCCACACATGTTAAGACCTCATCGCCACTTTAACTTCATCATACAAACTTCATCATGCAACTAATACTTTTTAAGGGTCTTAAATCTCTCTGAATTAATTTATTAACTTTTAATACATTAAGACAGCCTGATTTAACTTAAAGAGGGTTTTCATAAGACTATCATTAAACCTTTTTAATCTTGACATAACATGTCATGAATATGAATAGATTTTATGTTTGGTTATGACAACTATCATTAAGTGTCATTTGCTCTGTTATGTCACTTAAAATGCAAAGATGACATTAGCTATGATTCCATCCAAAGATGCAAATTAAATTTATGCGCAAAACTGGAATATCACATATAAACATGCAAATAAAGCATTGTTTCCATCCAATTAGTTAAAGAGAACAAAATAGTCACTTCCTATTTAACTGGTGCTAAATATCAACTGTAAAAACAGGGTTTAGTGGAGAAGCTGCGTCAATCTTTTCAATATTTAATAAATGATGTGCACCCTAGAAGACAATTTCAACACGCAATGAACATGTGGTGACATTTAAAGGTGTGAAACATGGAGCACAAATGCTCTTGACTGGAGGTAATTATTGATGTAATAACACTAATACTGAAATGGTTACAGTGTTTTAGAATGACCAAAACAGCATTTCAGATGTTTTACAATGTGCTCAGCCAGCTGGTTTGTCCATTCACACATTTTCATCATCACATGATCTCTTATAACAAAATTACATGACCTTTTTAATGGGCATACTGAAATATGTTCTGTAAAAGTGTTTCCATCGTAGTTTATAAGCATCTTTTCTTATTGAATAAAAAGTTTAACCTACTCAGTTATGAACATACATTTTTTATGCACATTTTCAAAAATTTATGCGCATCACTGCGTTTCTATCAACTGTTTTTTATGTGCATCTCTGAAATGTGCATAAAAATAGGTGGATGAAAACATAATTATTGTTAAAATGTATTTATGACAATTTCCAATTATCAAGACAACATAACTTGTCATAAACCTGTCATAAACATTATAACTATGACATAAACTTTATAAGAGCATTATTAAGATTTTTTTGGCCTAAACTATAGTGGTGCAAATTGATTTTTTAACTAAAATGTCATGAAATATTGATGAAGTTGCCTTTACATTTTTTGACCGAGTATTGATACATTTACTGAGTAAATATTAATGACAAAAAATATCAGAAAAAATACACACAACACTGTTACAATGACTTTGTGGCAGTCATGTTTATGACAGATTTATGACAAAATTTAGGTTCTGTCTTACAAACACCCTTCAGGTAAATTGTTACCAATAACACATTTAAAGTCACAATAAACTACAAAAACTACACATTAAAAGAATCACTAAAAGCCCAGAAATATCTCGATCAATTTGTCTTAAATAATAGTTTAACAAGACTAGTTTATTGAATTGATTGAAAAGTGCAGCACATTTACGTGTTCATCTACACTACCTGACAAAAGTCTTGTCGCCTATCCAAGTTTTAGGAACAACAAATGATTACTTGACTTTTAGTTGATCATTTTGTATCAGATGTGGCTTATATGAAAGTAAAAGGCCTCTAGATTATGCTTATTTTACCCAAAAAAATGTCTTACCTCAGGTTATTGGTGTTGCCATTCACTCTGCAGATCTCTCATACACCCCCATACTGAATGTAACCCCAAACCATGATTTTTCCTTCACCAAACTTGACTGATTTCTATGCGAATCTTGGTTCCATTTGGGTTTCAATAGGTCTTCTGCAGTATTTGTGATGATTGGGATGCAGCTCAACAGATAATTCATTGGAAAAATCTTCTGCCACTTTTCCCAAATGATCAACTAGAAGTCAAGTTATTATTTGTTGCTCTTATAACTGGGATCGTTGGCAAGACTTTTTTCAGGTAAACACTGCACACACTTTTCTCCCAACTTTTTCACCTCCAAGCAAAAAAAAAAAAAAATCTAAAATGAAAATCTTAATGGAGACCATAATGTGATTATAATGGAGCCTTTAAATTCTGCACAAGTCTGCCAAGCTCTAAAACAATAATCTAAAAACTGCTGAATCAGAAAGTGAGACTCACACATATACCACAGGTAAGTGAAAGAATAGTAATTCTGCTGAAGCTTACCTGTGTAAAAGCCATTCAATGCATTTCAGAGCAGGCTTGAGCAGAAAGTAAGGTGACAGTCGAGTGAGGAAGAGAGAAATGCTCTTGTCCAGTTTCTTGTTGACCTCTTTGGACTGAACGCTGCGCTCTAAAGTCAAAGATCCTTGACTGAACAGAGTCTCCTGAAACTCACTGAACGCTGCATCAATACCCATCAGCTCCTCCAGTCCCGTGCAGCCTGTTCAGAATGACCAACAACACCAAAAATTAGGCAAAGTGATTGATTATTGCTGACTGCTGTATAAAAATGAGTAGAGCTAAGTAGATGATTATGTAAGAATTATGTAAGAAATTGCATTTTACATGACAAAATTTGTAGTCAGTAATATATCTTCTATATTACACATTTATGGTAATGTAATCTGACTACTTATGGATTACATTTGTGCTGACCTAATTTGATTTCACATATATTGAACTAGGATAATCTTATAATAAAATATATGTTCAATTAAGTCAACTTCAATACATGTTATAATTTAGTTTCCTTAGTTTAGTTTAAACTTTATTGTCCATTCTGCTTGACACAGGAAGGAACTTTGTCTTTAACAATGATAACATACATACAACTAGGGATGCTCATTTCGGTTAATTTTGCTAACCGACAACCGCCGCTCATTAATCGGTTATTAACGGGTAACTGGTCAGATTACTATTAATTTTATATTATACAAATTAACGTGACTATTTTGTGTCCGACAAATTAAATATTGCATTTTAACATACTGATTTATTTTCATATGCTAGCATATTAATAACAGAACACAACAACAAAGCATTTTCACGCACCTGCAGTGTTTAGCACAGAAGAACAGAATAAACTAAATAAAATAAATAGGACTGCCCTAAATTATTTTCACTTAAATAATTAAGTTATATTACAAAACGAAAATACTGACTGATTCTTTTTAATAACCGGCATAGGCAGTTTTTTTTCCAATCATATGTTTTTTTTTCTTCCGTCAAATAAAAAAAGCTGACTTCCTCGAATTGCCCGCTCCACGGAAAATATGCATTTATTTAATGCCCCACTGTTATTATTATAATCACAAAACCTTTTTACATTTTTAATAGAAATCATTATTTTAAAGAATATGTCCTGATGTATGGTTTCCTTTCTCTCCTTCGCGGTTCAAGTGTTGCTGTATATGTTGATAAAATTGTAATATTTAATAATATTATGATATTCAAGATTTGTCCATTTATACAGCTCTGGATAACTTAAAACAGCGATTAGACCTTCAGAGCGGCAATAATGCGTCCTGAAGTAAAGCGAAACGGCTATAAACTCCAGCAAGATAGAGTGATTATATGCAGAGTCATACTAAATAAAGTATAACTATAGAAACTGTGTACATCTTAACTGAAAGCTTCTGCGTTTGCTGGCCTCACGCATCGCGCACCTGTCAGTCAGTCAGTCAGTCAGTCAGCACGTAACACCAAAGTATTAAACAATAGCGCACAGCACTATACCGTTACAGAAAAGCTTGCGCTGTTATAATCCACTTACCTTTTAATACGTTTTGGTGCGATTATAATCCGCTATTAAAAACAACAACAACAATAACTGAATGTTTTAAATGGGTAATGTAGCCGTGGCGGGATGCATTTTGTTCCTCGCCATAGAAGAATGAATGTAGCGGAAACCAAGCTCTTTAAAAGTTCTCTGTAGTTGTCTTGACAACACAAACAGCTGCTCTGGGATGAGCCGCGTGCAAAAGATGCCCCTCTTAACGCAAAGGCGCATTCAATCAGCCCCTTATGTAGTCAAACTAAAAACATATAAAATAATAATTTTAATCGTTTAACTGATAGCATTAATCGGTCACAAACGCACCCTTTCGGGTAACGGTTAATCGATTATTTTGAGCATCCCTACATACAACCATACAACAATCCCATAAAAGCAACACTCGTCAAGACAACCACAAGAATAAAACACTTAACATATTAGCCCTATACATATTGCTGCAGATCATTCTTAACAACTGCAACATTCACATTAAACAGTGATCCGATTTAATACAACAACTGCAACCTGGATAAATTACTTATAATATGCATTTCTTCAGGTTCTATGAATTAAGTCTACGTCCTAATGGTAACACTTCAAAAGCTGCATGGAGGGGATGTGTATTATCTTTAAAAATCGCAATTGTTCTTTTTTTCCATAAAGATGTGAAATAAAACCTGCAGTAAATGTTGTTTGAGAACAGTTATCTTATTTGCCTGATTGATCATTTGTAGGGATGCACTGATATGGATTTTTTTGGCCGATACTGATAATTCTTCAGACTTTATGCCGATAGCCGATATGTTTAGGCCGATAATTATGAATATTTTAAATTGTTATATTTTTATACAGCAAACTTCATAAAAGAGTGACCTGCTCTTATGAACTGAATAGTCTATACTCAAAGCAAAAAAGCTATAACTTCATAATTGCAAGGTGATTATAGACCCATATTCACATTTTCACATAAATCTGCATGCAAAAAATGATTTCCTTTTCTTCATAGCATATTAACATGCAAGTTGATTGTTGCATAAAAATAATAGTTTAAATGACAAAATGGTATTTAATTAACAAGCAAGTTAAATATATTTAAATGAGATGAAAATGAAAGAGCTAAGGACTGAAACCAGCTCAAATGGTATTAAATCAAACGTGTTACAGTGATGTACACATGTACAAATATGTCATGTCCGAAAAAGCCTTTTTCACAAGTGTTTTGACAGTTTAGAGCCACCATACAAGCAAACTGCTAAATACAGATAAGATGTTTTAGTACGTTTAGAAAATGCGGCACAGATTTATCCTATTTGGCGTTTTGACATGTCACATGTAGGTGCTGCTTGTCAATCAGACAAGGCTTTTGCGCTCGTTCTTGTCGTCAATCGCGGGAAAATGATCAATGAAAAGTTTATGATAAACCGCTAAGAGTTTTACTCAACTGTAGAGGCAGAGTTGCCATCAGAGTCAGATTTTGATACAAACCTGCATTGAGCTGACTTTATGACAAACAGCAGAATATAAAGACAGAATGAGCGGCTAGTTAAGAGCCCCTTTGACTGGATTCATCTCTCACCTCTCCCCCTTGCTACAGTGTGTGTGTGTGTGTGTGTGTGTGTGTGTGTGTGTGTGTGTGTTGTGACAGCTCTCACGCGAGCTCGTTATAATTAATATGAATATTCCGATCAAACTGAATACATCTTACATCAACAACACATGGCCAGCAACACGTTGATAATAACAAATAATCAGATTACAAACAACCGTTATGTTTACTCATGTTGTAAAATGTATGTGTCCTTTGACGGGACTGGGCTGTTTGGGGTGTGTGAAGCAGAGTGAGAGGGGGAGAGAAAAAGAGGAGCGCTTTTTTCGCAATGAGACCATTTTCTGTGATGTTCCCTCTTTGGTGACTTATTCGTTGTACCACACGGAAAGTAATAAATATTTTGGACCAAGTTACATGTGTCCTCTTTTATTCACCAGCTGCAATGAAAAAGAGTTTCCCCCGAAACTAATATTATTCGGCCCTGGAGTAGCTAATAAGTGAATCTCCCCTGATCTCTCTAACACAACAAAGAGACAGAGCAGGAAAGGTTTACACATGTAATATTTTTCCTAAGGCGATTTAAAGCAAAATACTTAATGACACTCAATCAAACATATCTACAATGATAAGGAACGTGGTTACTTACTGAGTTATAAACGCACAGCAATGTCACCTGAAGAAAGGACAGACTTTGAAGGAATAAACAATGTGGGAGAGCTCCATTAGAGTGCACTGGACAAGTCTGAACAAGTTCCGCCCACGCGAGCACGACACGCAGGTCTGTAAAATTACGTAATTTATCGGCTTAAATATATCGGCCTAATTATGACATCGGATCGATAACGATCATTTTAAAAAAAGCGTTTATCGGCCGATAACGATATGGGCGCCGATATATCGTGCATCCCTAATCATTTGCGATAATTTCTAGTATTCTATAACCAAACCATGAAATAATATTGTACGTGAGAACACTCACTATTAGGGCCTACTCACACTAGGTTACTACTCACAGGGCCTACTCAAACTACTAAAGGCACTAGTGCTCTGAATCGGGCTCAGGCACGGTTAACTTGGCTGGCCTTGGCCCGGTTGGAAGAGGTGTGCCAGAGCCCGGTTCACTTAGTGTGAGTGCAAGTGCGCATGAGCCCCATACTGAAGACGAGACGTGACCTTTACAGGACTGTTTCAAACGGATTTTATTATTCATTCTTTCTGTGAAACGAACGCAAACTGTCGTAAATTATTAAAGACGCAAACTCCTCACTGCATGACAGCTGCACCTTTAGTAAACCTCCTAATTCGTGCAGCACAAGGACTTTATGGTTGTTAATGAGCGTTAAAAGTGGCTGATCTCTTCAGCGAAATATTTGACAACGTTTCACCGCATCCCAAACGACTAAAACGATGTAACTTAAGAAATCTTCACTGAGCTGAGCAAAAGCGCTTACTGGACAGTGCATCATTGATGACGCAAGCGTGCCCAGGCTCGAATGTAATGTGAGTGCGGGCTGGATCAAGGCAACTGTACATTGTGTGAGTACGCCTTAAATGATCTATATGCTATGTTTAAAGTCTGTGTGATAACATTAACACTTCTCAGCTTGCAAAGGAGACAGAGACGCTAACTAGCCTTCTTATAAACAGCTTCTATATTACTGTCAAAATTCAGTTTATTGTCAATAATTGTGCATAAATATTTAAAATTTGAGACCTGCTATGAATGGTTTATAAATTCTAGCATTTGCTACTCATTTTTGACTCCTCAGACATAGCTCTTTTGCTTTCCCAATACTAAGATATAATGAACTTTTGCCAAACCAATCTGTCGTACTATTAATACATGTAAATTATATCTATTTATTTTTTTAACACAAAATATATTTAGAAAAATGTAAGAAACTATTAGCTATTGATTCCTATAGTACTTATTCCTACTATGAATGTCAATAGTAACAGATTTCCAACGTTTTCCAAAATAACTTCTATGTGTTCAACAGAAAAAAATAAACTTATAAAGGTTTGAACTCGTTTAGGGAAGAGTAAACATTGACATAGCAAAAAGTGACATTTAAAGTCAAAGATAAAACATAGGGTGAAATAAGGGAAATTAAAGTCTTGGAGAAACATATGAAAACCCCATGATTACTCACCAAGTGCATGGAAGGTGCTGCGGTCCATACTGGCTGCATCTTTAGGGTCAAAGAGCACAGAGACCACCTCTTTCCGGCCGAGCAGACTCGAGTCATTCTGCGGCAAGGCCAGCCGCTTCAGCTGATGCGCTAACGATGTCATCTACACACGAATGATAATACAGTTTATATTTTGTTACTGTGATTTCAGTATGTAAATGTCACAAACGAATACATCATATTAATCAAAGGAAATATTTAACTCCAAAACAGGCATGGGATGAAAACCAATTTCAAGGTTTACCACGGTTTGAAAGTTTTAAAACCGCTAAAATTTCCAGTAATACCATTCCTACAGTATCTGTAAAAGCTTTTAGGTGTTCTTTATGACTATTTTATTTAGTTTTTAGCGCAACGGTATCTCTCCAGCATAAAAGGACGAGGTATCAAAAATTACTGTTTAGCCTATGATTCAGGAAACATTTTAAAATCAAATTGCTTATTCACCAGCACCAACATTCAACCATATTATAGACGTAAACATTACTTACTCTATATCCAAAGAAAATAAAGATATACAAAGTTGTCATTTCAATCTAAGTGCTTTTGAAACTATAAAGAAGATAGCAGGAGTCAACTGTTTATTTGAATTATTTATCCTGACATGTTTCCTGTTCCAAAATAAGTTAAATGTTTCTTAAAATAAAATACTTTGAATTCAATTGGGGAAAACGTTTTTTTTTTTTTTACCCAGACATTTAAAAAGAACCTACTTTAAAGCAGTAATCACAATACTGCAAAAACCGTAATTATTATTATTTTTTTATTTAGGTTATCATACTGTCAGAACCTTACGACTTTATGTGTGTGTGTACATATATATATATATATATATATATTTGTATGTATGTATGCACACACGCACACCTTTTATAGAGTTCATAAACATTTAATTGAATTTTGATGTTTGTTTTGCGATTGCGATATTGTTTTTAAGACAACCAAAACATTGACCATTTTAGTCAATGGTTACTAATATGATTTCCATACTCGGAATGTGTAAATATTACTTTTCTGAAGCAATATTAAGGAGAGAATCTGACTGTGCGAATATAAACACCTTCTTATAATCAGCCTCTACATAACTGTCAAAATTCAGTTTATTGTCAATAATTGTGCCTAAATACTTACAACGTGAGACCTGCTTTACTATTTTTCCATTTATGATGACTGGTTTATAAATTCTAGTATCTGCTACTCTTGTTTGACTCTCCAGACATAGCTCTTTTGCTTTTCCAATACTAAGATATAATGAACTTTTGCTAAACCAATCTGTTATACTATTAATATAAGTATATTATATATATATATATATATATATATATATATATATATATATATATATATATATTGAACACAAAATATAGTTAGAAAAATGTAAGAAACTATTAGCTATTGACTCCTATAGTACTCTTTCCTACTATGAATGTCAATGGTTAGAGATTTTTTTTCCAACGTTCTTCAAAATATCTTCTATGTGTTCAACAGAGAAAAATAAACATATAAAGGTTTGAACTCCTTTATGGGAGAGTAAACATTGATATAGTAAATAGTGACAGTGACTTTTTTTTACTTAGATTATCATATCCTCAGAACCTTAAAACTTGATGTAACGTTATATGTATGTATGTATGTTTGTCTGTATGTAAGTTATGTCTTACATAGAGTTCATAAACATTTCATTGAATTTTGTTGTTTATTTTGTGATTGCAATATTGTTTTTAAGACAACCAAAACATTGTACATTATAGTCAGAGGTTGCTAATATGATTTCCATACTCGGAATGTGCAAATATTACTTTTCTGAAACAATATAAGGAGAGAATCTGAATGTGCGAATACAAAAAACAACTTTACCTCAATAACAGCTAAACATAAATACACACGCAAATAAATAGTACGACTTGCATTGACTATTTACTACAACATAGAAGAATATATTTCAAATTATTCAAATGATTTGTTTAGCATTAAATAGAGCGATGTTGCCAGTCTGTGTTGCTAGCCTAGAACACTTTCTGTGTTTATCGTTAGGTTATACACGTCGCGCGAAATAATTAACGATCAAGTGTTATGATATTTTCTATGCGTCCAGATACAACTGTAAGAATACTTCCATACCTTTGGTTGTAGTTATTACCGCACCAGTATCCACGTGTGTGCAAGTGTGCCAGTGTGCTTCTCGTGCGTGTTTTGCTTTTGGTAGCGCACAAATCGATTGTTGTTGTACTGCCACCTAGTGCATCGGAGGGAAAGCAGGGATCAGTCAAAATAACGTTGTTGTATTTTTTATTTAATCGGTATTTTCATACAAGCACGTTTACTGCTGAACCACAAAACTTTAAGTTTGCTAAATAAGTTGTGTACTTTGTTAGGAGAGGAAAGAAGGTCGCTGGTTCGAGTTCTACCTGTGTTTCCGTGGATTTCCACCGGTTTCCCCCATCGCCCAAAGACATGCGGTAGGTGAATCGAATAAGCTAAATTCTCCGTAGTGTGTGAGTGTGAATGAGTGAGTTGGTGTTTCCCTGGACTGAGTTTAAGCTAGAAGGGCATCCGTTGTGTTATAAACACATGCTGGATAATTTGGAGGTTCATTCCGCTGTGGCGACCCCTGATAAATAAAATGGAGTAACGTTAAAGTGAAGGAATATTTATGAATTAATTGTAAATTCGGAGGGTACAAATCTAAATATAAAGAAAATATTTAAGTAATCAAAACTGAGCTTTGATATATTTACACTATAGGAACACTAGATGTTATAAAACATTTTCATGGAACATGATCTAATATCCCAGTCTTTTTTTTTGGTATAAAACAATCTATATTTATGACACTGTGTATTTTTTGGCTATTGCCCAAAATTTGCCCATGCAAAAGAATGATTTTGTGATCCAGGGTCTTAATTAATAGTCTATGATGAAGATCCGTGGAATTATGACAATCAGTACAAAACTATGGATACATAAAAGTTGCAAAACGAGAAAACTTGATAAATTAATGTGTTTTATCACCTGTTTCTCATATCACATTTTCAAACAAAAGGCAAACACTTATAGGGGAACATTGCTTGACTCACTTTAAAACAACAAAATTGCCAAAAATCATCTTTCATCTACTGTCTCATTCATGTGTTCAAAGACCAACAATTAAAATAAATAATGGTCTTGTGCAGTGATGTAACAAACCGGTGTATTATAATATAATATAATATAATATAATATAATATAATATAATATAATATAATATAATATAATATAAGGCGAGGCAGTGGCGCAGTAGGTAGTACTGTCGCCTCACAGCAAGAAGGTCGCTGGTTCGAGTCTCGGCTCAGTTGGCGTTTCTGTGTGGAGTTTGCATGTTCTCCCCGTGTTCGCATGGGTTTTGTCCATGTGCTCCGGTTTCCCCCACAGTCCAAAGACATGCGGTGCAGGTGAATTGGGTAGGCTAAATTGTCCGTAGTGTATGAGAGTGTGTGTGAATGGATGTTTCCCAGAGATGGGTTGCGGCTGGAAGGGCATCCGCTGCGTAAAAACTTACTGGATAAGTTGGTGGTTCATTCCGCTGTGGCGACCCCGGATCAATAAAGGGACTAACCCGACAAGAAAATGAATAATTAATATAATATAATATAATATAATATAATATAATATAATATAATATAATATAATATAATATAATACACTTTATTGTAATGTAGTGTATTATAATATAATATAATATAATATAATATAATATAATATAATATAATATAATATAATATGACATAATATAATATAATACAATTTATTGTAATGTAGTGTATTATAATATGATATGATATAATATAATATAATATAATATAATATAATATAATATAATATAATATAATATAATACAATATAGTTTATTTTATTATAACATAATATAATACAATATAATATAACATAATTTATAATTGCGTTGCACAAAAATGTTATACATTTTCAGAACATGTTTTATTGAAAAGCCATATGCGTCAAAACACTGCACACTGGGGTACTAATATACAGTCTTTCAAGCTATAATATAATATAATATAATATAATATAATATAATATAATATAATATAACATAACATAATATAATATAATATAATATAATATATGATAATGTATGATAATTTAGGCTAATAATTTATTATTTTAGAAAATGCATAAACGCTCTACTAAAACTGACGTGAAATGCCAGCACATGATTTATTGTTATATGTGTTAGGGATGATTCGAGAAGCCTATATGGGGAAATAAAAGTGTGACCCCATAAACATGAGTGTGCTGAGAGGGTGTGAAAAGAGACGCGCTCTATGACCCTGTATCTCCGCCTGCGCTGCTGCAGCATCAGTGGGAAAGGCAGAATCTGCAGCTGACTACATCAAGAGATCAAAACGATCCGGATTAAAATCGCACAATCTGTCGCGTAAATCCAGGGCGCATCGCTGCTCCACTTTCTCCTTAGTTTTTCGTGAACGCATGTGCGATTCAGACATTAATCAGCAGGTTTTTTTCCACAGACGGGGAAGATGGTGCGTTGCTTGTGCCATGCCGCTGCTGACGGACACTCCGCACGCATTCGTGGGCATTAATTCACCGCGCTCTTCTCCGTCATATTCCAGTGCACATTATTGTTCACCGGCGACGGTTTTGGCCTGACAGAAGCGTCTGGGTTAACGACTCAGAGATGCTGTTATCGCATCGCCTGGAAGAAGCTGCCTAACAGACCATGATGAAGACCGAATCCTCATCCTCCTCCAAGCCAGCGAGCAGCACCTCGCTCCGCAGCCCCTCTCCGCACCGCAACGCGTACGAGGCGGCGGGGATTCAGGCGCTGAAGCCGGCCAACGACATCTTAAATAACGGCGACGCGCAGGATGGCAAGCCGAAGTCTACTAGCCGCGGTCGCACGTACGGCTCGAACGTGCACCGCATCAAGAACATGTTCATGCAAATGGGCGCATCCTCACCCACCGAGGCTGAAGACCCGCAGAGGGCAAACGGCGACGGGAAAGCGGTGCGTCTGACGCTCCCGCGGGCCGGCAGCCTGAACGAGAACGTGGACCACAGCGCGCTGCTCAAACTCGGGTCCAGCGTCTCCGAGCGCGTCAACCGCTTTGACGGCAAATCTGACGCGTCGCCCTGCAGGTACTCCAAGCTGCAGGAGACGCGGAAGATCTTCGAGCAGAACCAGGAGAAGCAGGCTGCATCGAATCGCGTCCTGCTCAAGAAAGAGCGCGCCGCTGGATTTCAGGATGCGTCGCGTTTGGATGTGGTCGCGCGCTTTAATGGCAGCACGGAGTCGCTGGATAGCCTGGACGCGATCGGAGGCACCGGTGAGGCCGTGTCGCCCACTGTCAGCCAGCTGAGCGCTGTGTTTGAGCGGGCCGCCGAGCTGCGAAACAACCTGCACCGGCTCTCCAACACGCCCCCGCTGCCCCTGCCTCTGCGCGGCCGCGTCGGCGCGCTCAACTCCAAAATCATCTCCAAACGCGCTCGCGCCTTTCCTCCGGGGGCCAACAGAGAGGATGGGGTTAACCAGCACCAAGAGGAACAAGACGGGAGGTTCAGCAGCCTTAACGGAGCCTCTGAGCTCCAGGATAGTCTCTCATCGGTGGAAGAGAAGCAAACAGGGGACGAATGTAGTGCCAGTGAATTCGCGACTCAAGACTCGAAGTGTAAGCAAGAACAAGCCAACACCACAGAAGCTAAAGGTACTCTTATTTCAGCAGATCTCCACAGTTTTGGGAACAGCGGAGTCAGTTCTAATGGAGAGGCCGTGGAGAGAGATGCTGAGGATGGACGGTCTGTGGGGGTCAGTAAGACCGAGGATGATGATGGTACTCAGCAGAAGGGTTTCTCCACGGCTGATTTGGTGGATATCAGTGCCTACAGTGCAGTAGGAGAAGACTCTGCTGGCAGCCAGCTGGAGGATGAGGAGGAAGAAGATGAAGAGTATGAGCCAGAGTCCAGCTGCTCTGAGATTCCCGGATTACCTGCGGAGGAGGAGCCGCCCCCGAGCAGGAAAATTAAATTCAGTGTTCAACCCATTAAGGTGAGTTTACACCTCAAAGGAGTTTTTCACCACAAATTAAAATGATTTCATCATTCACTCACCTTCAGAAGACTGCAAACTCAATTTTCTACTTGATGCAAATTTCTATTTGTCAGCAAGGGGTCTTTGCATTAATGTTCATTTCCATTTCAATATCCACTATTTGTGAGTGACCCTGGACCACAAAACCAGTCATAAGTGTCAATTATTGAAAACGGTTTAGCAATTTATGCAATACATAAAGATGAATAAATAAGCTTTCTATTGAGATTAAATTTGTCAGGCTACAGAACAATGTTAGGCCAAGATACTACTACTTAAATCTGGAATCTGAAGGTTAAAAAATCTAAATACTGAGAAAATTGTGTTTAAAGTTGTATAAATGATGAACAATTGAGTTTCGATATATTTACAGTACAGAGCAATTCCAGCGTTATGGATGTGACATTTGCAATAAAATCTCAAAACATGACTTCACAGAGAAAGTATATGTTAACATTATATTGAAACATCTGTTTAAATTTTCTAAAACAACTAACCACAGACTTTAGGAAGCAGAAAAAGATCAATCTGTAAGCAAGTTTTGTACTTTAAATGAGAAAAGTAAACATGCGTGATGGACGTGACCAAAAAAGTATGCGAGTTTGCGGTACACTACACACCGCACTTTGTAGAAATTCTGTGAATTAAACTACTCAGCCCAAAATAAATAATGAAAATCAGAAGCGTAAAAGATGGCTCTCGATAAAACAAAAATGTTTGACTTTATTTTATTTAATATTTGTGCATTTGTGTGGAAAAAGTGTTGTTCTGGATGTGACATCTCTCCATATGGATGTGACTGATATGAAGTTTCCATTTGTGTGACATTGGTAAAACAAATATAATAGTTTGAAAACACTGACCGAGACATTTTTGAGTATATCTAAATATCTAAGTATATTTTTTATGGCAAGGTTGACAATTGCATGGAATTGCTCAGTAATTTACTAAATATTTTCATAGAACCTGATGTTTACTCAATATTTTAATGATAAATAAAAGAAAAATGTATGTTTGGCTATTGTCAAAATTTACTCATACAGCATAAGATTGATTTTGTGGTACGAATGACAGTTCTTCAAACTTTTTGAACAACAAAATAACGATTAACTAATTTAATACATCAATACTCCCAGTTTATTTTGTTTAAATTTATCAAAATTGTTGAAGGGACATTTATTATACCCTTTATTGCACTGTAAAAAATTGCTGTTAAAAAACGGTCAGATTCTACGGTAAAATAATGTTTTTTCACTAAAACAGTAATATTCTGTTAAAAACAGTGCTTTCTGGGTAACATTTTTGTTTTCGAGAAAGTAACCAACTGCAGAAAACTGTGAGCTAACAGAGTTCAGATTCGATGTTTTGAAGTCTGTGTTTGAAATCACACTTTGTGTCCTTGTTCACTATTTCATACACTAGTTAACTAATATAGTTCACCTGACAGTTTTAATGAACACGAATGAGTGAATTCAGACACGGATGAACACCTGCTGTTAATAATTACAATTACTAAAGAAAATAAACAAGAAACACAAACAGTGACTTGAGTTACAACATTAAATAAAATAAAATAAAACAGCTTCAGTCTCAGCAGAGGATCATTAAACAACTCAACAAACAACAGCAGACACACTTATTACTGACTGATTTGACTTCCATGCTATTCTCATTGAGATCCAACAGAAATTTAGGTGTTTTTCGTGTCACCGTAATGGAGTGAGGGGCTGGTTTAGTTGGGCTCTTCACCCTTAAACTTATTAATTCAGACTCTCCAATTACTATAATAAAGAATTATCATAATACTTGTATTATAGCAATAAAGTTGGAAAGTCAATAAATAGAGAAATCTATTTGTCTGAAATTAGTTCTGATAAATGTTTTGGTATAAATCTGGATGAAGGGCCTCATGCAATAGATTTTATGCTTAGTTGCAGGTATTAAATTAATTAATGAGAAGTGGAAACAGAAAAGATACCTCCGTAATTACTTAACAGTTAAGAAATGAAAACTACACACTCAGACCTCATGAATCTGACCTTGTATCTCAACAATGGTAACAATTCAAATGTTTTATGCTGCAATGCATGCTGGGAGTGGCACGGTACAAATATCCCAGCATGCATTGCGGTATAAACAAATGTTGTATAATGGTCTCACAGTTTTCTTTATTTGTGTTTGATTCTGCTGTTGTTTATGTTTAGACTTTCAGTTACCTGTTTGTGAGTTAAAATGTTAATTTTGTTAGTTGTCACCATTATTGAGGTTCATATGCTGATTATTGATGTCTCTTTGAGTGCGACTTACACCATAGAGCAGTGTTATTGTCCAAGATATTCTTAAAAACTTCCAGAAATCATTGCCAGATATATACATATAATGTAAAACAATAAATTTAACATTGAATAGGAGCAGTAAATTTATTACACTAAATGAGAACAGACTCTGCCATTTAATAGCAACATGAACATCACCAGATCTTATTTAGTTTTTTAGCTGGCTTGCCACATCAAAAGAGCTTTTTAAACAAAGTTCTTAACAATTGCAGCAGCCAAAATATGTAAATGTTAAAAACGGCAGGGCTAAAAGCCCAACTAAAGCAAACTCTGTTCTCCATGATGGTGACGTAAAACTTTAACTTTTTCTCAAGAAGAACTTTAGTAAATGTTATACAAAAATACATGTATTAAGTAATAAGTGTAGCTGGTGGTGATGATGTTTGTAGAGTTGTTTAATCATCCGCTGATCATTTAAATGATTTAATCATTTGTTGTTCTTCAGGTTATTTCATTATAAAGCTGTGACTAAAGTTTTGTATGTTCTGTTCTTGTTTTTTCCCTTCAGTATTTCTTCATTTGTTCATTGTTAATCCTCAATTATCATTTAATTAGTCAGTTAATTAATGAATTTACTTCAGCTTTGCTACATGTTTCTTGAACACTCAGTAGTGTGGACACTTCAGTTAAAACTGAAGTATATGCTCTGGGGTTTAAAGGGTTAAAGGTGTGAGAGGTAAAAACACAGTGTAAAAATGTATTTTAACAGTAATATACTGTTAATTTAAACTACGGAAATAGACTGTAAAAAAACAGTATATTGCTGGCAACCACAGCTGCCAGTAGATTACTGTTAAATCAAGGAAAAAACAGTATTTTACTGTAAAACCTGAAGCTAATTTCTTCTGTCTGTCACCGTTGTGGAGGAGAGTAGAGCCAGTGTATGAGTTAAAGATGAACAATGAACTGCTGATGTTATTCTGCATGTTTCTCTATTTAAAGACAGCGGCTGTTTAGTTGCTGATGCAGTCAGAATCTCTCTGGTGATTCCAGATTTACATGTATGTGTGCTGTTGTGAAAAATAAGACATTAGAGTTAAACCGAACTTTTCTAATTAACTAAAATAAGTTATCGTTATAAGTATACTTCTAAGCATATATAGCACATTACTTCATAAACTCATACAGCAGTCGACCAATTTGAGGCAGTTGCTTTCAGTGAGCAAAATGAGTTCACTTGAGTATTGTGTAAATCAATGTAGTCCATGTATTTTTACAGCAACATACTGTAAAATAACAGTACATTACTGGCAACTGCAGCTGCCAGTATTTTACTGTTTTTTAACGGGACAATTTTTAACAGTGTGGGATGTTTACAGTCTATCGGTCTATAGAAGGACCAAAAAGCCTTTTATAATATACAGCAGTATAATTCTAGTCTATAACTTGCGTGCTATTTTTCATGGCTTATGGAATCATAATATGGTTTTATGTGGGGAACACGTGAAAATTAAAACAATTCAATGGAAAATGTCTTCTTATGATACCACCAGTTCACAGATCTCATAACTAGATGTGAAATTCAGATTTGAGATGACAGAGGGAAAATTTTCCATGTGTATATATTTTGTATATTAATTAAACAATATGAATATGGAAAGTTTAGACATTTTTATATCAGATAATGTTAGGATATGCATATACTGTGCTCAGCATATATAAGTACAGCCCTCACAAATCTCTCTTTTAAATTAATTTTTTAATAGGAAGCTATACAACAATAAAATATTATATTATACAATATTATATTATATTTGTGCATAAACATTAGTCAGTACTGAAGCCAAATCTGGAGCTTATCTAACAAAATACCTTACGATAAAAGTCTAAAAACTAGAACACGCAAATGTAGATGTTATAGAAAAATATTAAATACGAATTTAAAAAAGAGGAAAAATCAAGAAAAACAAAAGAATTTGACAAATTAGGTTGAAATTTTGTAGGTTGTAATTTTGTTTTTGCAATATATTGCTTGACTTTAATTGTATTATCTTTCAATTTCTCAATATGTTTGGTGACTTAAATTTTATTTTAATAAATATATATTTGTTTAATAAATCTGTTTTGTTCAAATGCACCATAATACTTTGCCTATATTCACTGAGAAATGGATACAAATCTTCATTTATAAAATAGGGTGTGCTCATGCTGAGCACTGTACATAAAAAGAATACTTGAATATTTATATTTAACTGTATTTAAACAAACAAACTTTTATATTCTTTTACTTATTGAACATTATAGATACAGAACTATTTACAATAAAGCCAGAGAGCCGGCCATAAACATCAAAGAAAGCGAGGTGATGTAGAATGTAGAATATAATAAAACAATAATAGTGGTGTAATAGGTAGATTATGGGGGCGCAGTGGGTAGAACGATCGCCTCACGGCAAGAAGGTCGCTGGTTTGAGCCCCAGCTAGGTCAGTTGGCATTTCTGTGTAGAGTTTGCATGTTTTCCCCATGTTAGCATGGGTTTCCTCCGGGTTCTCCGGTTTCCCCCACATTCCAAAGTCATGTGGTATATATATGAATAAGCTAAATTGGCTGTAGTGTATGTGTGTGAATGAGTGTTTATGGGTGTTTCCCAGTGTTGGGTTGCAGCTGGAAGGGCATCCGCTG